GAAATGAGTTTTTTCTCTCTTCCTTTTTTTGCGCGCGGCCCGGGTTTTTCGCTCCGCGGCCGCGGCCGCTGCGCGCCGCAGGAATTCTGTGCGTGCCGTCGGCGGCCACTCCAGCCGACGGCTGCAGCAGCTACCCGCGCACCCGGTTGCCGTCGAGTATCTATATATTTAATATCCTAAGGCCTTTTTTGGCCTCCAACAGTTTGTGCTAATTCGATCTCGGAAACTACTGGACCGATTTTCCTCGGATTTGTTTTAAATGAAAGCTCTTACGCTGTAGACGTGCCAACATCCTTTGGTTTTTCGATTTCCGCGACCGACGTTGCAAAATTTACCTCGATTTGATAACGACATATTAGCGTTTTTGCCGCTGGACAGTTTGTGCTAATTCGATCTCGGTAACTACTGGACCGATTTTCCTCGGATTTGTTTTAAATGAAAGCTCATAGGGTCTAGATGTGCCAAGACCCCTTCGTTTTTCGATTTGCGCGACCGAAGTTGCAAAATTTACCTCGATCTGATAACGACATATTTGAATTTTTGACGCTGGACGAGTCATATGGTTGGGGGACCTCCCACCCTCTGATTTTCCGTTTCCCTCTCCACGTAAACCCATCCCTACCTGCTCACAACACGTGTCACCCTTCTACCCTAGCATGGGTCCTACAGCAGTTTCACTCATGTCGGGGGTCGGCTCATGTCTTCTTCCAAGAGAATTGGTGATTTATCTTTACCCTTTCGCACCGTTACATTTTCAAAAAGTGTTCTGATTTTCTTTTCCAGGAGTGTTATTTATTTTTCAAGGTTGTTTCTTCTTCTAAAAGTAGGTAATTTTTAGTTTCCTATTCTTTGTTTTTGAATTTATCATTTTGCCTCCAGGAAGTCCTCTAAGCACTGGTAGTAACAAAATTTGGCTCGCTTCGCGAGCCAACAGTTACTCGCGGAGCGAGTAACTGGGGGTCCAGGGGGCTCGCCCCCGGCTAGCGGCGCAAGCGAGCGTAGCGAGCTGAAGCAGCTAGTCTATACTATAAGCTCCAAGACCTCCTAATTTTGCGAAACTGGTAACGCTTAGTTCCAGCGTTTTACCGGGCCGATTTTCATGATTTTTGCGGCTATCGACGGGCAATTGTCTCTAGATAAGCCAACTTTTTTCAGATTTTCAAAATATGGCCCAGGTTTTTTTATATTACTTAGTAAAGTTGCGAATTCTTCCATTTAAACAAGGTAAATTTATACTTTTTGTCATAGTTCGTTTGAGCGTTCTACCGGGCCGATTTCCATGATTTTTGCGTAAATCGACAGGTAATGGGCCCTAGATGAGCCCGCTGTAATCAGATTTTGGGAAAAGGACCCAGGTTTTTTTAAAATCACGTTATTAAAGTGAGTGAGTTTACAGAATGCTCCGATACTGCTACCGCTATGCGCGGGAGGATGCGCAGTGTTTGAGGAGGTTGCGCAGTAGCTGTGTAGCCTGCGCATCAGCTCTACACTTATTTACACAAGATTTGCGCCGATGATTACATGTCGAGCGGTGGCCGGGTCGTCCAAGACGTCGTATGCGTCCACTATGAAGTCGGTGTAGGTTCGATCCCCGACTCGTAATGTCCTAATTATTACCTCACTATCATTATTCATTGTTTTACTGCAATATTTCATCAAGCAGTCATTCCAAAACGCGTCCTTTTAATTTTAAAGTAATTTTAAGTAAAGTTTAAAATTAAAGTTTACCTCATATCGTAATTTTTTAGGGGAAAAATAAAACTAACACTGCTAGGAGGGTAAAAATAGGGCCGCGAAGCGGCCCATTGATGGCGCGGAGCGCCTTCAGGGGGTCGGGCCGCGTAGCGGCCAGGGGGCGTAGCCCCCTAGTACCTATATATATGTTGAGTATGGAGATGTTGCATGTGTGAGGAATTTGCGATTTGACCACTGATTTTAATGTAAAAGTTCGCGAGAAATACGATGGTGCCACTGGTTTTCTCTGAAATCAACTCCCAAGCTCAAAAAAGCTCTCAACTTGAGGCCAAAATGGAGGGGATATATCCTAGAGTACCTGTATAGGGAGAGTACCGACAGATCGGTTCATGGAGGGCTTAGGGCCCAAAAGTGCAGCCACCCTTCTATTCTAACGCACAAAATTTCACTGCCAGTCTGCAGATTCCAATTCTAACCAAGATGGCCAAGAATGTACAGAAATGAGCGTTCTTCCGCGAAATTGAGTAAATTTATGCAAAAACTGAGTCAAACACGTGCTTAATAAAGGACGGTTCGTATCAATAGTATCACTAAATCGCTCTGGATAATTAAAATTCATAGGTTGGCTGCCCTTTTGGGCCCTAACTTTATTCACCGAGGCCTCGGTGAATGCCTGATGGACTTTCGGAGTTTCAGATCTGTCGGAACTCTCCCTATACAGGTACTGTAGGATATCCCACGCTATCCTGAGAGTCCACCTCTACATCAAGACAAACTCTCCATGCAAAGATAGGGAGCGAATACATTGACAGGGCTGCCATGCACTTTATTTGGGGACTCTAAAACTAAAAACACGGCATACTGCTAATGTATTTGTTTCCTATCTTTGCATAGAGAGTTTGCCTTGATGTCGAGGTGGACTCTCAGGATAGCGTGGGATATCCCCTCCATTTTGGCCTCAACTTGAGATCATTTTTTGAGCTTGAGAGTTGATTTCAGAGAAAACCAGTGGCACCATCGTGTTTCTCGCGAACTTTTGCGTAAGAATCAATTGTCAAATCGCAAATTCCTCACACATATGCAACATCTCCATTGTTCGAGTCCTTTCATAGAGAGAGGTAAGACAACGCGGCTCTTGGTAGAGTACCTGTATACGGGAGAGTTTTGGCATCTCTGTGTCGCTCTTCGATTGGTTCATCAGTTTTAAGCCATCAAGGAGCTCCGAAGTTGGACGAATGTAAACAAACCCGACTCAAAGGAACACGTATTATCGGCTGAGAAATGAATGATAATCACACTCAAAGTTTACCAGGGTGTCTACAAGTCCGAAATTTTCGGAAAGTCCGGAAATAGTACTGATTTTTAAGGGCGGTCCGGAAGCACTAAAAAAGTGCGCTAGAAGGTCCGGAATTTTTCATTTTCGTCGCAATTTGAGAGAGAATTTCAAAGTGTTGAAATTTCTCGGATTTTATCAAATGGAGGTACGGAAAAAGTAGTGGATTTTTCTGTTGAGGAGGTACTGAATTTCTCGGGAATGTACTGAAAAACGAATGAATGTACCGCTTCGACTATTTTCTTTACTTTGCGTTCAAGTCTCCAATGATATTTATACCGGACTTTAGACTTCAGGAAAAATCGATTACGAAGTGTTTTGTCCGAGGTGATAACTCTCGTCCGGCCGCATCGATTTCTTTCTTACCTTGCGTTTAAGTCTCCAATAATATTTATATTATCTCTGACTCCAGACATTCCTAAAATCTGGAATCATAAGAATGTTTTTTTTTTTTTTTTTTTTTTTTTTTTTTTTTTTTTTTTTTTTTAAAAAAATAAATAAGGGCGAATCTTTTGCAATGGTAACATTGAACTTCATCTGATCACGTGTTCATTCTGATTTGGGACCGCCATTGGGCTTCTTGACAAAATTGTTTTGTACGTTTTTGGTAACAATTTCAAATTTCAATTTTCGTTTTGTACGTTTTTTATTTGCAAGAATGGGTAAAGGCGAGTTTTTGTCTTGACCATATCCAGCGTTCGTGCATTCTTCGTAAAGGCTTTTGGCTCGATCGAATTATAGAGGAATTCCCACCATGAAAATTTTTGGCGACATGCTGTAATAGCTTGCTGCAATCATTAAGACTGCCACAGTCAGAGAACACCGGGAAATGCCAGGGAAAACCTGGAATTGTCAGGGAAAATGACGAAAATGTCAGGGAAAAATTGTCAAGTCACCTTCATTTGCTTTCTAGCCTGGGTTTGATGTTTCAAACAATAGATTTTTAGTGAAAATTATATGAAATTATGTCTTTTTAACTATCCAGCATATCTTCAGTTTTCAGGGAATTTTACAAAAATGTGACATGGAAATGTCAGGAAATTTCATTTTCTTCATGGTAACCCTGCACTGCAAAAAAACCACATTGGATCTAGAGTCCAGACTCTTAAAAACATCGACAAGAAAAAATACTCTTGATTCAATCAGATTTAAGCTTAAATCAAGAACCAAGCCTCTTAATTTGAGCTGATTTCCTTTTGATTTAAGCTTAAATTTGATTGAATCAAGAGTATTTTTTCTTGTCAATGTTTTCAAGAGTCTGGACTCTAGATCCAATGTGTTTTTTTTCCAGTGTGGATTAAAAAGATTTTACTTAAAACAAATTTGCTCTGTAATTTAAGCTTCTGTTCCATTATGTAAATCTGAAGAGTCTAGGAGAGGCGCTGTTTTTGTACACCTGCGCATGCGCTCGCTTTAATGGAGTTCATCTTGAACTTGACCGTCGCGTCGACTTGAACTTGGTATTGACCCTGGGTGCCGGCGCGTCTCCGCAATACAGTGAGGTCATGACCCTCCGAAAATACCATTCGCCTTCACTTTTCTTCGAGCTACGTCTTATTTTTTGCATGATTGATCAGTGATCTTTAAACGAAACATTATACTGCCGTGCTAAGGTGCGATCCATTTGTATAACAATGGAAAAAAACACATTGTATCTAAAGTCCAGACTCTTGATAACATTGACAAGAAAAAGGACTCTTGATTCAATCAGATTTAAGCTTAAATCAAAAGAAAATCCGCTCAAATTAAGAGGCTTGGTTCTTGATTTAAGCTTAAATCTGATTGAATCAAGAGTATTTTTTCTTGTCGGTGTTTTTAAGAGTCTGGACTCTGGATCCGCCAATGTGTTTTTTTCCAGTGAACACTGTAATCGCGCTGGTTCTTTTTTGCTAAATGCGATTCAAGTGTTCTTGTGAAATTCCTTTCATCTTGCGAGTGGATTTTTAATGCGGTTGTGTGAATTTGGTTTCAGGCCCGGCGGGACGAACAGCGGGAGCCGGGAATCGGTGCCGTACGTGAGCTCCAAGACGTCCTCGGAACCACTGCTCCCGAAACCGGCCACACCGAACAAGGCAAGTCCCTCCATCCTCCACCTAAGTTCACCATCCCAGGGACATTTTCTGGCCATGGGTTCAGGCGAGCTTGCTTTCCTGTTCACGGAGAAAGAAACTTCGTGCGTTACGTGGGACCCGAATTTTGGGTCCGGAATATGATCGTGTATCGAGGCCTTATGGCCTAAAATTTGGGTCCGCCAATCCCCCATTCACAAAGTTTTTCTCTTTTTAAAGGAGTGATAAGATAACGATACCACAGCCCAAAAGGGGCTAATTTTTAGAATGGTTAACATGGCGTTTTTCTTTAGCAAGGCGTGCAGTATACTGCCGTGCTAAGGAAGACCGCCGTAAGAGCCTTCAGACGTTGCCATATTTTCTTCAATAAAAACCCACTTTATTAGGATGATTGTGGATACTTTTCTTCAATTTTTTCAGACAATTTTGTTCGCAATTTTATCTAAAACTTCTGAAAAATTCGAGGAAAAAGAAGCATAATATTCTTATGGAAAAAAAAACACATTGAATCTAGAGTCCAGACTCTTGAGAACATTGACAAGAAAAAATACTCTTGATTCAATCAGATTTAAGCTTAAATCAAAAGGAAATCCACCCAAATTAAGAGGCTTGGTTCTTGATTTAAGCTTAAATCTGATTGAATCAAGAGTATTTTTTCTTGTCGATGTTTTTAAGAGTCTGGACTCTAGATCCAATGTGTTTTTTTTTTCCAGTGCGGGGCAATTTGGCAACTCTTAAATGTTCATACGGCGTTCTGCCTTAGCACGGCAGTATAACTTATACCTCCTTTTTCAAAACTCTCAATGTCGATATGATAGTTTTTTAGCGTTATCTAACACACCCAGTCTTAACTAGATGATTCGTCTAACCGACGAAGATTGTCGGTTCCGTCGGTGGAAACCCCCCTCCCCCGGCTCCCTAGTGTAGGCGATTAGTGCTCGCCGAATTTTTGGAATTTATCACGACCGTTAAGACCTCTCCGAGCGCAAGCGGCCTCAAAATTCCGCCTCCTTTGATAGCTCCTTCTTCGGCCCATCAGCGCTGCCATCCTGGCGCACAGTGGATCGAGTTAATGGAGATGTTGCATGTGTGAGGATTTTGCAATTTGACTGTTGATTCTTCCGGTTAAATTCGGCAATAGCTGACGTAGCTTGGTTCCTTTCTGCTGAAGACGGTCTATTTATATTTTATACTCTGTTCACTATTCGAGATTCGTGTTGGTCGAAATTAGAGGCGCCGTTTAATTTGATCGGAAATTTGGCAACACTCAATCGTCACGTCAATAACCCATTTTGGTCGGCTCTGTCTATGATCGTGGAAACCTAGCTTAGGGTTTTCAGGCTCCAAAAATCTCGCATAGAAGGTTAAAGTAAAAAAAATGCGTGTTTTTTTGGGTGATTTTATGATGAAAGCAACAGTAAAAATGTGCTTTTGCAGCACTCTCAAAATCAAAGAGTACCAATTTTAACCAGAGGAGTGCCCACAGAATACTAAAGTAGTCAGAGCTGATCAAGTTTCTCGATTCTTTGATATGATGTTCTCGAGTAATAAGGTCAAACTATTATTTGTCAATCTCGAAAAAATCGGTACCATAGAGTGCATTTATTGGTACTTCCAACATGTTATTATACGGAGAAGTAGCGCCGTTGATGTGTAACCTACCCTATTAGCAGCTATCGCACACATAAGTCGCCTTCAATTTCGTCGCATAGGCAACAATCCTGCCGGAAAGCGAGAATAGTCTCGCATTTGGAAAACATACATACCCTGTCCACTTACGTTGTGCCTTCAATTTCGCCGCATCGGCAAAAAACATACCGTAGAGCGCCAATACTTATTCATACGGAAAACACACAGACATTGTCCACATAAGTTTCCCCTTCAATTTTGTCGCATAGGCAACGAACATACCGTGGAGCTCCAATAGTCATCTCTTCGAAAATCACACATTTATCTAGAAGCTTTGATTGAACAGGGCTATAAGCTTTGCATTTCTCTTATTAACTTCTAAGGGAGCCGCCGGTTTATAAATTTGTCTGCAATTATTATTGATCAATAATACTCCAAGTGAATAAAATACACTTTTGAGTAAATCAATCGTACCTACTTACACTGCCAACTTTGACTAATTATGAACGGTTGTAGGACATTACGACAACGATTTTTTGTCCACGCACCTGTTTTTCTAGCAGTTTACGTCCACGCGTTTTTTCGGCAGCGGAGTTTTGGTCCACTTGCCAATTGAGACCCAAAGTTAATAAGTCCACATGTGAATACATGTAAGTCCTAGTATCTGTATTTAAGAACGTTTAGCATGATTTTTGAACTTTATAAGAGGAAAAAGTGACTTGATTCAAGCAGATCGAAGCTCGAATTTACCGCCGAGAGAATTTCCTCACGAATCAATAAAGAAAATCATGTTTGTTTATGAAAAGATGCTTACATACATAAAAAGAAAAGTCACTCACATCAAACAGAAACCCGCTTTCATTCCGCTACTTTCGTCTTGATTTAAAATAAATTCTTCTGGACTGCATACTCAAGGATGTTTCTGCCTAAATCGAGTCACTTTTTTTCTCTAATGACATTCAAAAATTTGCTAAACGTCATTAAATACGGATGCTATCACTTACTGAGTTTTTGGACTACAGCTCTCTTTTTGTGCCGGAGTATCTTGATTTATTTTGCGAAGAAAGCTCCGTACTCTTAATGGATGCCTGTCATCCTTAACATGCTGGAGCGCCTTCAATTTCGTATGATACTGTGCAACACCTCTGTTGTGAAATAGTTGCTTTAAGGCGCCGTGGCTCGCTGCGGCGCGGCGCGGCGAGAGGGCGATTGACGCGCAACGTGCATTGGCGCCTACAAACCTAAGTGGATACTTCAAACATTGCGCAATGCGTGAAGTATCCACCTAGGTTTGTAGGCCGCTCCGCTCTGTGTTCGGCTCTAATATTTAAACTCGCGGAGTCAGCATTTTTCAACTCGTGATTTTGACATGTTTGCACACTCTGCGTGGATTATTCTCATTTAAATTTAAATTAGGGCTGGGACCTTCCGCGCAGGTACCAGCCCTAAACTCGTTTTTTTCCGTGTTCCGTTTTCTAGGGAAGATTTTTTTCCAAAAGTTGTTGGAAACCTAGAAAAGATACCTTTTTTTATATATTAAATAGTACATTTTATTTAATAAAAAAAAGGTATCTTCTCTAGGTTTCCAACAACTTTTGAAAGAAAATCTTATTTCCAAACAAAGATATCCTCACTCCTTGGACTCCAATGCACTAACAATTCAATTTTTTTTTACAGTTGAATGGGAGCTCACAAGCACTATCCTCTCTCGCTGGATCGAAAGAAACTACAAGCCTCTCCTCCTCCTCCCTGAGCACATCTCATCTGTCGCCGGCGAAACCTTTTGCCGTCACACCTGTGGAAATAGTCAGCCCATTGGTCCCAGAGAAAGATGCGCCAGAGGTAACATCACCCGGTCCTCGAGACTTGACATCACCCAACCGTCGAGACTTAACATCGCCCGGTCGCCGCGACCCAACCTCACCCGGTCGACGCGACCTGCCGTCGCCCAAAAGCAAGCTGTACCAGTTGAACACGGGCCGAAGCAACAGTACCACCAACATCTACAACAACAGCCCCAGTAATCTGGTCAGCAATGGGAACCCAAGTCCGCAGCGGAAGGCGTCGACACCTGTCTCGATCAAGCAGATGACCTCAACGACCAATTCGCTGAGTGGTGGTCGGAAAAATGCCCTCGGGTCACTCCTACATCATCATCCCAGTGTTGATGAACTTAGGTTGTTGCAGGTTCGTTATTTTTGCTATGGCTCCGTGCGGTTTCACAAATTTAGAGAACGTTTCCCAAGTAGCATTTTTCAATGTAAAAGTTGCAACAAGTTGAAACAATGTTGATATTTGTTGCAACAAAGTTGCAGCTTTCGGTCAACTTTTGGTCGATAAGTGCCGATTTTCGGCGATTTGATCGGAAGACAAAGTTGCAACCTGCTGAGATTGCAAAATTGCTAAACCAAAGTTGTTTAAAATCTAAAGATAGGCAACCAGCAATACTTTGAAGTTGAAACATGTTTCAACTTAATTGCAACTAGTTCCAACAATGATAGGTCCTTCGGAGGAGAGAGTAGGCAATCTGCACATCAATCTATTAGTTGCAAGAATCAAACGATTTTGTTGCAAGTTGTTGCAACCTCTGCTACTTGGATTTCAGGGTTTCTACAGGTCTGGAAAACTGGGAAAAGCCGAGAAATTGCATGAGTGAGACTGGAATTTTGAAGAATCTCGAAACTTGAATGAATCTGGAAAAACATAAGCATTGTCCACACAATAGAAAAACAAAAAGCTCTCAAGTCTAGTCTAGTTTGGGATTGAATGCTCTGAATCTCACCCCAAATAGTGAATCCGGAGGAATATAATTCAGTAAGAAACGGCGAGTGTAGTCAATTACAGATTAGTATCCAAAGAAAAAAAGGTTCATTTTTCTGTCATTTTCTTTGAAATTAATGTCAAACATTTTTATTGTCAGTTCCATGTGTTTAAATTGTTTATGTGCTACCTAAGTCAGGGAATTTTGATTATTTTATTTAGGAAGAACCGGGAAAATTCAGGGAATTTTTTCCTGCAAAGTTTGTAGACACCATATTTTGGATTTTGTTGAAATTTCGATTTTCAAAAATAATTTTTCTGGTGGTTAGAATTTGAAAAAAAATCAATCGTACCCAGAATACATTGCACCTAAGCTGGGAATCTACCCTAAAGGGTAAATAAGGGTATTCTAGTGGCATGGTCGCCCATGACCACGATAAGAGATTTTCAAGTATCTTTAAAAACCAGTCAATACTAGGGTTTGATCCTGGGACCTCAGTGTTGGCAGCAAACTGGCTTGACCTCCTCATCACCAAGGCTTGCTAGAATGGTTTATGATACTTTGATGTAGGTGTACTAATTTTCAACAGCTTTTTGGCTTGTTTAGAAGAATAATTATTAATTTTAATCTCCCAATACAACCCATGCATTTATGTAAGCTTTTTTTTTTACTTTACAGAGGCGAGATTACAATGGCAGTTCATCGGACGACAACAGGTCATCCGGTCATGCTAGTATGTCAGACGGGCATACCAGTTCCTCTCCACCTGTTGATAAGTATCAGCACTACTGTTGTCCTCTTAATTCAGTGCCAGAAGATGAGAGGCTCTCAGCATCTGTCATGCCAAATCAAAACCGCTCCAGCAGGAAGCCAGTTCAATCAAGAGTACGACATAGAGCAACACCCGCTAAGGTGCATATTTAGACCTAACGTTTAAACGTTGGCTAAGCCTCTTAGATTTTAAGCGTTTTAACGCCTTAAGACTGTTTTCAGTTTCAATGTTTCGCACAAGGAAAAAAAAATTGGTATTTTTGAAGTATCTATCATGTGAATGAGCGGCAGCCCAAAATTCCAGAAAAACATTCAGGAAACGAAAAAAAACTTGCACGTTGCGCTATTCACGGTTTCAAATTTTTTAAAACAAAATGCATTCAGTTCCACCAACAATATCCAAATCCCTAAAGTGTTTCACTTGCTCATTTATTAAGTATATAAATAGTAGGGAACTTCTGAAATTCAATTGAGTTCAGATATCACTCCTCTCATGATTCAAAATTGGAGAGAGTTTTCTGAGAAACCGCTTGAAGTGTAAATAACAGAAAAATTAATTATTGGAACGCTTCTGAAGTTCTCAAATTTTTCCAAGCAAAAGTATAAATCTATTTGTTTATACCTCAAGAAGTACCTAGCCTCAGCAGCTAAAGCCCATAAACAATGTTTAGGTACGAACTAACCATGCAATGTCCTCTTCTCAAAGGCATTTTTTCCTGAAGTTTTTCAGTCAGCATAAATTGATTATTAAACTGACTTATAAATGTATAAATTGGAGGATTTAACCGGAATCAGTGTAAATATATCAGACATTGCTCAATTTCCTTCGATGTTTTGTTTTTTAAGCAGAAAACTCAGAAACATTAAAACTTGAATTTTGTGTGTAGGTATATTTCCTCATAATTCAATGTAAATTCACAGGAATTTTAAAAGCAATAAGTGGTTTAGCTCTCTGTTAAAAGTATATAGGTACAGTAAAAGCTCGCTAAGTCGAATTGTGGAGGGATCGAAAAAAGATTCGATTCAAGCGGCAATTCCTCTTAACTGATTCTCCACTTAACTTATGGATGTGCCTAGGGGCAGAAAAAAAATCCAACTCACGAGGCATTTCGTCTTAACCGTAGTTCGATTGAGGGAAATTTTACTGTAACATAAAAGCAAATTAAACAACGTGAACTGCAGGAATCTATCCAAATAAATGTGAAATGAAGTCTGAGAATAATGGAAAAAAGCATCAGCTTTCATTTGTTGTTAAAGATTTGTTTCTGCTTCTTTCTTAACAGTTAGTGCCATGTGGATCTGGTTTAGAGGATATCAAACTGGCCATTCAGCAACTAACAATGCGGTCACACACGTCCAATGCGGGTTACTCCACATCCACATACTCAAGTCTTAGCGGTAGTGAAAGTAGCGAGCCAGCAGTGAGGAGGCTCATGAGGCACTCGTCCCTTGAGACGATCAATACTAATGTCACCAGTGCAGATGAGTTTGTCTGGGTTGAGTCGCACAATAGGTGTGTATTCGATATTTTAAAGAAAATTTAGCTGTGGAATTCTTTGATGCAGTGGATACCGTTTGCAATGCTGCCGTGCTAAGGAAGAACGCCGTTTGGACATTCGAGAGTTGCCAAATTCCCTTCAATAAAATGTTTATTTTGGAGAAAAGTTAAGAATATTTTTCCTTGAAATTTTCAGGAACTTTTGGTGAAATTACGAACATAATTATCTGAAAAAGCGGAAGAAAAATATACATAAGTTAACCAGGAAATTCGTGTTTTATCAAAGGAAATTTGGCAACGCCTGAAAGTTCATACAGCGTTTTCCCTTAGCACGGCAGAAGGAACCACTGGACAGGGTAAAAAATTAAGATTCACAATATGTGCTTCCTTATTGATATGTTACGTCAAATACCATGGAAGCATTGAAACTCTCCAAATTTAACTGATAAGTCAGAAAATTACTATTGTTGTGTATGCCAATTCACACTCCTGCCCACAAATGAGACTGGAGTCTGCTTGAATCAAATCAAGGACCTAAGTAATTTTGATGTGTTTTATGAGTGAAGAATTTTCCTGAGTACTAACTTTTTTTTTTGGCAGAGCTAAAGATATCTTGTATCAGACTAAGAAGAATGTACCTTTGTAAAAGCAAGTTCTAGTTATTTGCCTCACGTGCAGGTTGATTTAAATGCCTCATCTGGCCAACGCTGTTCATGGTTTTTTGGCAAGCTAGAACAATGAATTTTCCTCGAGTATGGTAACTTAGCATGCAAACTGTTTCTTTAGCTACTGTAAAAAGCTACCTTTAAAGGTGCCAATAGACGGGTGATCACAGGGGATAATTAAGTATTTTGAATATCGCCGACAAAAAAATTTTTTTTGTACATTTCATTCACTATTATCATGTAATTTCAGGCTTGTGGAACTACAGAATTTGCCGTGGACGAACCATGATGTGTTGAAGGTAATTCAAAATGGCAGAGTCAAAGAAAGCATGGATCGAGTCGCAATGGAGACAATACCACGACTATCCTATCTCCTCCAAAGAGCATTAGTGCGAATAGCCAGAGAAACGCAAAGATTAGCCAAACCTATTGGAATGTGCGGCAAGCATGAAGTATCTAGTGCTTTAAGGATAATATTGTGCCCTATCTTGTCTGACTCCTGCATCAAAGTAAGTATCATAGCCTCTGTAATCCATCAACATTTTTGAGATCCTTTAAAATGTTCACCTTTATACAGTGCCTTTTAAAGTGACCTTGCCTTTTAGTGCCCTGTAGTGAAAGCCTTTTACAAGACTTTTATAGTGACCATTTTTGCGTTGGTTGCTCCAAGCTTTAACAGTCACAGTGACCAGGGTTTCGTACCGCATGTTTCCATGTCACTGCTTTACGATGAAGATGCTGTCTGAGGGTGTTCCATGGAGTTAATTATAAAGTCCCAGTCACGGATGATACTAATACAAAGCATTGAGGCAATCAGCTGAAACTGTTGTATGAATCATTCGAATTTTGCCGGGTTTTTTTTTTTTTTTTCACATTTTCCTGGTCTGGCAGGAGCAATAATGCTATAAAACGTTAGCAGGGAATGTGTGAAAGGATTGCTACCAATCTAATATTTGATAAACCGGAACAAATTTTAAAATCATTCACAACAAACAAAAATTTGATGCATGTCTCTCTCCGGTAAGAGGTACCATTGATTACATGGCCTTCAATAGAAACTCTTCTTAGAACCATGAAAGAAATCCAAGTTGTGAAAAGAAACGGGCAAATTCATTGATTGATTTCACGCTTTGATCCATAGGTTGCTTCTTTATCACATTTTGTATAAGAGTAAAGAAAAAGCTGTCATGGCAACATAAGATTGACTGGTGAAATCAGTGATAATTGATCCTGGTACGTACATATTTAATGTTGAACGTAAGGATGATCCACTTGCTAATGCTCCTAAGTCAAGACTCCGTGTCTCAAAATTTTCAGCAACTCTAATATCTATCTTTCTTTTCCCTTAGGCCTGTTTACGGTCGGCAGCTATGTTTGCTGTCTCTGGTGACCAGTTAAAACAAAGTAAATCAAGCCGCGCTGGGCTTCATCTTTCTGTAGGAAAATTTCACCGATGGATGGTGGATGTAAGACTGGGGAAATTGGTGCACGAGTAAGTTGAATGCAAATTTATTTTTTTACTTATGTCCTTTTTTAATTTTTATACATTTTTCAATGTTCTCAACTAAAGTAATTTCTCTTGGGTAAACAAGCCAGCAATCACAATATGTATTATTTACAGATATTTACATGCAGATAGTGCGTCAAGCCGCTTTTCAGGCTGCATGATGCATCGCTTGATCAGCCCTCCACCGGAGCGTTCCCTATCCTCACTTGAGAGCATGTTTGGAAAAAGGCGTGTTGAGCGGTGTGTCATACGTCACATCAGGCTCATAAAAAACTATAATATACTTGAGAGAAATTGCACTTTAAAAGTCGTTGTAACAGTCTTTGTAGTATGAAAATACTGCAACCTCAATCTTGGCACTTTGACTCAGCTGTTGAACGTTGGTAATACTTCAAACAACTCAGATTGGTGAAAGAAGACAGCACCCCTATGAAGCCTGCCAAAACTGATGTAGTGCGCAATTTGCCTCATGTAGACTTAGTTTTTACTTTTTTTTGACTGAACGAGAAATTAAAATTTTTCGTAGCCACTGCTGAATAAATAGTCATATCTTCTTTAGGAGCTGGAGTCAGTAATTTTCATCGTACCAGTTGTTCTATACAAACATTTTGAAGAGGAAACAACAAAATATACATCTGAATGCTTATATTTGTAGGTACCTTGTCTAGTGGTCTATACTTGTCTATTGTGTATCTTGTGCCGTCATGTAATAACATTTTTTTCTTTTTTCTTGTAGATATGCGGCCGTATACATGACAGCTGCTCTAGAAAATTTACTTGAAGAAATTATTCTACAATGTTTGCCCAACAAGACAGATGTTGTTCTAACAGCTTCCATGTTTGAGCATTCCATAGCTAATAATGGTGACTTATGGGGGTTGCTTCAACCTAATGCTCACCTAAATACAGGACGAACAGCATCAGGTAGCGTCCTGTGTTTCTCATATCTCTGAAATTTTAATAACTGAACAAATGACAGAAAACTTGACTTCGGGGTCTGTCTACTGTTGGTCAGTTATCGATTTAAGGCCGGACAAAAGTTTTTTTTATCGAGCGTCTCTTGTTTATCAGTATAAAAGACTGTTTCATTATTTTTTGTTTTGCCTCTGAAAGTTTATCACTGTTATTTGTAAGCTATATTGCAAATTTTCTGTGAATTATCAATTATTATTATGAATTCATCTTCCTAAGTAGTGAAGTATTTAAATTTCTACTTGAATGCGTTTTTTAAACGCATGCGTCTTTTTATGCCTTTTGTAAAAGAGTAGCAAAAATTGTGTCGATGGCTCTTTATTTTGTTGAGTTGAGAAACGTTCAGTGCTCTCGCAATTTTTGGATCTTAAAAAGTCAATGTTGCATACCAATAATTGAAACTACGAAATCGTATGTATTTATTGATAAGTGTACCTATCTATTTCCCCACGATTTTTTTTAAGTGATTTTATCGAAATTTTTGCATAAAATTTTCAGAGAATATCTGTGAAAGAGCAATAACAACTCATTTGAAATTTCATGTAAAATATTGATGATCAGTTGTACCGAAAACAAGTAAAACAAATAATCCTGCAATGTTTCCAAGCATGGTAGGTACTTGTTATTTTAGTCTCTTGATCCATTCAAGGGCGAAGTTAATTTCTCCAAACTTTTCAACATGTTTGTTTGGATTTTCCAGGCACCTTAACTTTGCCTCGCTGGGCAAGCGTCTGTAGCATGAACGGTGAGACACCACCACCCACAAACTTCTCAAAATGCTCAGAGCAGACGCTCCTCACAACCTGCGTCGGGTCCATTCAAGAGCTAGCCGACCTCATCAACCGTGTGAGCTCCTTCCAGCTTTGCAGTCGCACAATGACGTGGTCGCAGCAGGCCATCCAAGCTCTCTTCTATTTTATGCGATGTTCGCAGCTGGAGCACCCGGGCCCGGTCCAGGAGTTGGTCTATGAAAGAGCTTATGTTGTTTTGCCTCCCCTCATTGAATGGGTACGCACGACCACTGCGCATGCTGAATACCGCAGGTCGTCAGTCATTGATCAGGACGATGTGCTACAGGCAGCACGCTTGCTCTTGCCGGGTGTTGATTGTCCAATCAGGCCTCCAGGGTGAGTATTGTATTCTCAATTTTGTAAGTTGAACTCGTACCGATTCTTGGATCCTTGCTTGAGAGAAATTTCTGTGCTTCAGTAATTTTCCCCCATCATTGACTCTGTTGGAGCATTTTGAAGTGTTTGAAAAGCATGTTGAGCATTTTTTAAAAGGCAATTTTATACCTGGAAGTGCAGTAATGAATTGGCAGTGTAAATTTTCTTATCCAGTTTTTTACTATGACGAGCTGATGTTTTAATCGTATGGGCGTTAGCGTCTGTTGAGTCTCACCTCTCTGATTTCCTGGGGACAAAATCTTGATAAATATAGAGCTTTAATTATAGATTGAAATTAGAAGACCTTCCCATGGGCCCTAGACAAGGCTCCACCTTGTGAATAGTAAATAAAGTTAAAAGAAAAATAAGAAAAAAAATTGAAGCTTTTTCTCTCGAGAAAAAATTTGTTAGTTTTTCTTCTCATTGTAATGTAATTTGACTTTCAGTTAGAGGTGTACCATTTATGAAAATATTGATCAGTGCAAAATGAAATCGTGGCCATACATTGTAGATGTATTCTTTTGAAAATATCCTAGGCAAATTAGAACAGTTTTTTTCTTCTTAATTTTTACTTGGATTTTAAAGTTTCGAGAAAAGGTATATTATGCCGAAATGATACACTTTAAATGGATTAAAACAAACAAAAATTACAATATGTTTTGTATCTGCAGGTTTTTTTTTTTTTTATTTCTTTCCTTTGAAAACTTCAAGATTGCTTTATTCTTTCAATTTTTTCTTTCTTTTTTTTCTAATGAATTGTACTACATTGATCCACCCCAAGTTGCCACAAATTTGAAAAACCTTATGTTGAGTATTCTCTAAACTCCTTGATATTCGTTGAACACCTCTGGTTTTTGGAATTTTTAATGGAACCTTGAGTTAGGTTTTCAGGTTTTTGTCCATTAGCATTGATGATAGACATAAAAACTGATTTTACATGCATAAAGAAGAAACTTTCTGTCACGTTTGAAGCTTTTCTCCATTAAAAAGAATATTTCCTTAAAAATGGTTAATTTAGTCTATATTTACTCCACAGGTTTGATGATGGGACAAACATTCGCCGACCAACAAAGGATCCTGAAAGTATACGACGTTTGAAAACTTCTGTTGCGTTTAAGTTACTGACGACTGGTTTTGCTCGTGACATGATAACGCATGCAATCCAGCTTCTACCTGCCACAAAGGTGAGAGGTCTTTTCTCTGCACACATTGCATTTCTGCTAGTTTTCTGTTAGTTTATGTGCAGTAATGCCCCCCCAGATCATCTGACCACTGTTTATCCGGCTTTGTCAAAATTGAGTTGTAATTCCAAAAAAGTTCAACTACACAACAAATATTGATTTTTGTGGTTCATACATAGGAAAATGCTTCCATCATAAAATCTACCGAAGTCAGTTTAGTGCTCAATTAGATTCGAATTGATTCTAGTTTTTCTGTGGGCAAAAAGTTTGAATCAAAGTAGACAAACATCGTATTTTCTAACTTATGATCAAATTTGGAGGTTTTTAATGTACAAATCATATTCCATGTACAATTTTGATAGACAAACGTGTATTATGGTGCTTAATTTCGTACCCTGACTAGTGGTTCATTACACAAATACTCTCACAGAAAAAATAATTTTTAAAAGTGCAAATGGGTGTAATTGACACTTTTACAAAATTCTGTCTTGCTAATATAGGTAATAGTGCCTATTAGAACTGCAGTTATTTTCTTCTGCCATGCGTCACATTTTATTTCATTGTTCTCTAAAAATTTTTGTAGATCCTTACATGCATATTATTATTTTTCAGCTAAATACTCTGAATGAAAGTGGATTAAGCCCCCTCATGCTTGCTTGTATCAACAATGACGAACAGACTGTTAGGTATTTACTCGAGTTTGGTTGTGATATTGACTTGGAAACTCCACCTCCGGGCAGCCAGGTAAATCTAATTCTCTCTTGTCTCAGAAACACTTGCTGGGATCCTCTTCCTCTATCATAGTTTGTGAACAAAGTACTGATTTCATTAATCTTTACATCCTTATATGGTGGAAAAAAATTTCAATCGCCCCCTCTTTGCTTCTTTTGTAATATTTAAAGATTAATATCAGAATTGAGTGAAAATGGCCGGTGTTAATATGATTATTTGTCAGCTCAGTATTGATTTTTGATTCTTTGCTCCAGGGATCCTCGGCAGTCCATCCAGAACACCAGCATTGGACCGCTCTCACTTATGCTGCACTTCAAGGCAACGTTGTGATAGTCAAATTATTACTCGAACGTGGTGCAAATGTTGAAGGTGGCGCAAAGCTTAGCGAAGAAAAGTGCACCATCACCCCTCTCCAGGTAGCAGCTGCCTCCGGGAATCTAGAAATAATTTCGCTGCTCCTGTCTCATGGTGCCCATCCATTTTTCTCAACGTTGCTTAAAGATCCACTATGTTACTCAGGTGCTGCTCAACGAGGCTGTTTCAGGTGAGGTACCTTTAAGTTGTTTCTTTGTACCAGCACTTAATGTAACCACGCATTTGACCCTTAGCTAACTGTTAAAAAAATGTTCATGAGAGAGCATTATCGAGAACGTCAATACCTAGCATGAGAGCATGAGAGAGTCAATATTTATAGATCTCCTAATGTTGAGATAAGTAGGATATGGAATAACATTGGTGGAAATATGGATTCCTTTCGTATCTCTCTGAGCGTCTTGAAGATTTTTGTGATAACCAGTACTAATGTAGAGAGAAATATTCCTTGCTTTTTTTCTGTTTGTCCATGACTTAGACCAGTAACAGTCGAAGACAAGCCAGTAACCTGGTTTGAAAAATTCCCTAGGTGCTGAATTATGCCCAAACGGTGTGAATTAAGAACATCTTGTTTCTTGCAGAAGAAAATATTTATGCACTTTGTAGAATGTTGAATTTTTGTTTGCGGTTGATTTTATAAGAAGCTCCTCTGCGAGAAACCATGATTTAATATTTTCTTTTATTTATTCTATCAGTGCTGTGTCGGTGTCTGCATCTCATGGCCTCAGATCTGTACTTCATAAACTGTTGTCCCATCCTCTGAATTCCAATATCAAAGAAGTTCTGTCGTTAGAGGAAATCCTAGCTGAAGGACTCAATCAGTTAACGAACGATCGAAGGGCAGGAATTCGTTTACAGGTTTGTATCACCTTTTATATTCACAATTTTTTCGGTCAAAATCTGTCCATTGTTGTTGAATAAGCTATGAGACAAGGTGTGACTTGAAGCATTGTACAACATATATTCTCTTTAAAATTTCAAAAGGAAAACAAATCAACGGTATGTAAAAAAATCAACGCCTAAACTAGATGTAGGTTTTCAGAGATCATTCAAGAGAACCTTTCAAGAGATTTACTCAGTGAGGGAATCATTTAAGAGAGGCAATAGTGTGCCTTTTTTCTCAATTTGAATCTCTAGAAGTGGGGAATTTGTCCACAGTTTAACGAACGTCAGCTCAATCGAAAGAAAAATAAATTTTAATGAAGGTTTTGATTAGATAGAAAAGCAATTTTGGAGTCAGGGGAAAAATGACAGAGAATCAGAAGTGAATAGGCAACCCTGCGTGCTGATTATTGAAATTGATAGACAAAGCCATTAGACAAAGAAGATGTAGGGAGTATGGGGTGATCCTGTTGGTTGTAGCGGATGGTTCGTATGGACTGAAGGGATAAATGATGGACTAATTGTAGGGAATCTTGAGGGTTGCTGTTCATTAGTCTATTACTTACCTCATTTCTTCATTGCAACGACCTACTTCCACCGATAGGATCGCATCATTTGCTCTATGTCCTCCAAGTCTATAGCTTTGTCTTTCATTTTCAATAATCAGCCTGCTGGAATGGGTTTCGGCTTAAGATTTTCAAGAGAAAGCATGTGGCTTTTATTCTAATTAAGACCTTGTCTAGGGGTCCATCACCTTTAGGGAAAAATTTAATAGTGCCTAACACTGGATATCAATAACTTACGATTTATACAAATTTCTTCTCTGCAAAAATTGATAATTTTTTTTGATCAATGGAAATCATAAATTAATTTTACTTTTCAGAGGGACTGAATTTATATTTCTTACACATTTTCTGTTTCGTTTTCAGGGTGCTGGGGAAGGGAACTGTGCTCAAATATTAAAATTAAGTAAAGCTCAAATCAAATCGCTCCAAGAATCCATGTATCATAGTGCAGAAAATAATTATTTAGGTAAGTTATAAAATTTATTCTTCTATCCATTTTTTTCTCTCTTTTTTTTTGCAAAAGGAGAGCATTTCAAAGGACAGGAATAGAGAATCTAAAAACAATTTGGTTTTAAATATGTAATGGAAGTGCAAAAGTATCAATGAAAAACTCGAAGTATTGCTATACCTAAAAAAAAAAATGAATGATTTCTACTTGATTCCTGGCTAATTTTGACGTCAGCCAGAAGTGTGGTTGCACCAGAAAGGGTTACGAATATATCCCTCGAAAATATTTAATAAGGTAATTTCATTGATCTTAAATAATGTTCACGATTTCTGATGATCTCATTGTACCGTATTTTTTCCGAAATTTGTCATTCAGTCCTCTCTCTTTGGTCTATACGCAAATTAATATCCGCTCCTTGTTTTCAGAAATAACGTTGGATATTAGGAACTTAGGAATACCATGGACGTTACATTGTTGGATGTACACGTTGGCAACGGCCCATGATCATCACCTAGAGACGATGATCGACCAACTCCTCCAGGATTTCCTTCAGGTCTGGCCAGACGACTGGTCATCGCAGTTTGTGGATGAATGCCTCCCACTTCTGTTCAGTATATTCAGGCATAGCAAGGTATTCTAGGTTTTTTTTAGTTCAAGTTACAAATTTCTTATGCTAAATTGAAGGGTTGGGTGCAGAAAGGGCACTCCTCGGTCGGGTGTCTCAGAGGCTCTGCTGACGATTCATCCATTATGATCAAAACAAATGTGTTTAATTCGTTGAAAATTTTCCTCGAAAAAAAAACTCAGTATTCTTTATCTATCACAATGCTTGAGAAGAGAAATCTCCAAAACTTTACTCTACAGCGTCCTCTCTGAAATATGAATTAATGAAAATAAATGACGCAAGTAACATAGGTTAACTTAAACTTACGTAACGTATGGTGTTGATAGTTAGTCCAGTGCAGCAGTCTCTGATAATGGGGAAATTCTGCACAAATTTATCAGTCTCTACTAAATTTATCAATACCAGGGTGTTTCAGTATTCAGAATTGAATGGTGATTTATTTTATTTTCCAGAACGAAGGCACGACTTTGCTACTAGCAGATATATTTCAGACTTGTTTTGGGTGGGAGCCAATTCGACGGATCAGCGACTCAATTCTGAATGGGAGCGCTCGAATCGATCCCAAATTTGTCAACAATCCTGAGCTAAGCGACGTTCAGTTTCGAGTCGAAGGCCGCGTCTTCTACGCTCACAAGATCGTCCTCGTCACAGCTTCATCACGATTCCGCAACATGCTCAGTTCTAAGCTTTGCGAAGGAAACCCTCCAATTGTACAAATCAACGACATCAGATATCATATATTCCAGGTCTGTAATCAGCGTTGTAACTAATCAGTGCTCATGTATCCATTGGAAATGAATAGAAAGTATCGATTTACATTTTTTATATACATTTTGAATATATATATTTATGTTTTCACCATATTTTGAAAATATATATGTATTTAAGTGAGACAAATTAGTGACTTTCACAAGCACAAAATCAATGGTGGAACTCAGAAAAAATGTATTTGTTACGTTGCACATTTTGCATTGTTAATTTTTTTTTTCGATTTATTTAATTTTTTATGAAAAGCCAATCAACATCATTTAATGAAAACTACTGTAATACTTTTGGTCCTTAAAAAGAATACTCTGAAAATTGTAACCCAAAAGTTTTCCTTGGAAAAGAAATAATATTTTGAGCAAAAAGTTTGAAATGCTACGATCCAAGACATGCAAGCAGAGATTAACAAATGAGGTGGGATTCATCGAGAGAGATATCCAATAGTCAAAATCTTTTGGCATGATTTTTTTTTTTTTTTTTTTTTTTTTTTTTTTTAATGAATCCCAGATCAAGGTAATTTTATTTCAAAGGAAAACCCCTTTTTTCTTTTTATTAAAAACTCTTATGATTAATTTTCTATGCATTGATGGACTTGAGTAAAATTAAAAATTCTATTTTTCCAGCTGGTAATGCAGTTTCTATACAATGGTGGCTGTGAAAATCTCGAGGTAGACAACAATGATGTACTCGAGTTGATGGCGGTAGCCAATTTCTTCCAATTGGATGGCTTACTGCGGTTTTGTGAAGCTAAATGTTGTGACATGGTCGACCTTGATAATACTGTCTCCATGTATATCCATGCTAAAGTAAGTTATCTTACCTGGGAAAGAATCTCTTATTTTTCTTTTTATGAGGGGAAACATTCTGGGAGCCAGAGTCGGGAATCACCGTTTGAAAAAATTTCTTTTGAAATTAACGTTACGGGTTCAAATTAGTGTAGAACCTTTTTCTTAGCGATTTTCCAAAATTGCTGAGGTTTTTACGCGGAAACCGAACATCTACTCACAATTGCGAAAACATATCATAATTTTTGTTTTTTTAGACATTTTTCCAAACACCTGACGATATGAGCGGTTGCTTAAAATGACCGCAGTGTAAAAACATAAACAATTTTAGAAAATTGGTAAGAAAAAGGAAATCGGTTCTACACAAATTTGATTAATATGACCAATAAAGTTAACTAATAAAGTGAATTTTACAGGTTGTTTTTTCTTTTTAATATTACTAGAAATTCAGACAAAATCTTTGAAAAATGGTAATGACTGCATGATTCTACCCAGGAGTCTGTTCGAAACTTGATTTTAAGGAGATACTTTTCAACACCTCAGAAGTAGGAAATCAGCCGTCATCAATTTGGAATTGAAATGAATTACTGGGATCAAGATAGCGAATCTTCTGTAGTGCCTAAACCATGCTGTGTAGAACTGGGGGAGGAATGGTATTTATTAGGAAATAATAAATCTCACGGAAAGTCAGGAAGAAATCAAGGAATCTTTACTAGAAACCCGGGTGCCTCTTCTTCTATCGATTGGAATTTCTGTTAATGCACCTGAGCTGCCTTCATTGACCTCTTGAATGGCATTTTCTTCAAATCTTTAGATCATCAAATCATCAGAATAATAGAGAAGCTTTCATTAACCAGATAATATAAACATCAGGGACGCTTTTGGAATAAAAAATTTGAATGTGTGCCAAAGTATCGGCTGAAAGATAAAAAAAAATTATATTCATAACTGAAACTCCTGGGAATTATGTAGTTTTTCCCAAGAAAATCCTTGAAAAAGAGGATCCGCGGTTTCTCATTAGGAAATGAACTGAAAATCAGGGATTGAGCGTCATCAAGAATTCTGTGCTTGTTAAACTATTCTGCATGGACTCAATTTGACCTCAGGTAGGAACTCTTTAATGTGTATCGGGCTATTCTTGATAATTTTTTTGTACGAGTTTTACATTTAAATACATTTAATTTTTGCCCATCTCTTTTCAGGTTTACCATGCTTTCCAGCTGATGGAATACTGTCAAGGATTCCTCCTTCAAAACATGGTGGCTCTACTCACATACGATGACTCTGTCAAGCGGCTGCTTTTCGGGAAAAAGTTACACAATCACGATGTTTTGACAGGGCTCCTCATAACACTTCAGGCTCGAATCAAAGCAAGAAATGCAGTTCGACCTGGTCCAAAACCAAAGTAGCCTATTTATCTTCAAGGAGAACATTGTTACAAGCTTAGTCAACGAATTTTGGGAATTTAAAAAATTCAACCCTGCCTCTTTTCTCCTCTTTGAATATTCTAATTTTTAAATAGGTGCCAGAAGAAAAAAAAGGTTCAATGGGTCTGTAGCACGCAAAAGATACAACAAAGGGTACAAACCTTCTACAGGTGAAATTGCACAAGAATCAGGATGGGCACGTCTGAAGAGTCTTAAGTCCACTCCCGTACACGCAATATGTGTAGTTTGTACCACGCTCTTTCAAATTTATCATGCCAGGTCGCCACTCAGTGGCCATCAGTGATGTTTGCCGAGAGAGTCTCAAGAAAATCTAACCTAAATGAACAAACACTCTTGCAACTGCTGAAATATTTCCTCACATAAGATTTCCATTGATCCAAAAAAAGTTTTCAAAACTGTATGTTTATTCTAACTCCTCTTTTTGGGCAAACCTGGTCACTGGGGACTGAGAGAAACTGCGCGATTACTTGACAAATTTGAAAAAACATGTTGAAAACTCCACAGATTGTGCGCTAGGGAGTGGATTTCAGACTTTTCCCATGTGCCCATGGTATTTTTCAGCCTATTGTATCCTCAAGGAATCCATTCACTTGCCTATATCTTTTGCGTGCAACAGACTTATTCAATATTCCCACTATAGAAATTCTCTCGCGTTAGAACAATTTTTTAACCTTAAATGACAGCTTTCACTTAAGGAGAAAGACCATGGTTAGTCTGAACCTATGGAACTGTAGCTCTGCAATCTTTGCAATAATTTTATAAGCAGCTGTTAGGAAATTATATTTCTAGAACAGTTGCAACAAGGAATTTAAGTTGCCTTGAAAAGTTTAGTGCTGTGGACAGGAATGGGCCTGTTGCAAACGTTTGCTGGATGAAAATGTCTCAAAAATCACGATGAGCACATCGGCAAAGTCTGAAATGCACTCATTCCTTCACAATTTACGTACAAAATTTGCGTAATTTCAAGCTGCCTGCCTCATAAACGATACCACGGCACAGGTGAACAATTCATTAGAGGAGTCATTCCATCCAACCCCTGCTCAAAAGGATACTAGGCAATATTCGACATAGCCGACGCCAATCCGCCAAAACAAATGTGATGGGACTCTGATTCTAACCACCTGTTAATAATCGGCGTGTTTACATTCACATTTTTCTCGCATTGATAGATGTCTGCTTTGATTGACCTTGTGCTCTCCAGCAACAGGGATTGAATGGAACAACTCTTCCAACGAAATGTTCACCTGTACCGCAGTAACCTTTTTGAAGTGGGATGCTTAAAAAAACGCAAATTTCGTACGCAGATCGTGAAGTTAGGAGTGCATTTTAGAGTTTTCCGATGCGCTCATCGTTATTTTTGAGACATTATCTATAAAGAACAACTCTAATTTTTGCTCTAGCAAAAGTTTGCAACAAGCCCATTCCCAGAAGTGTTTCTGAGCATTCCTTAACCAAGACCAATCCACACAGGTCAGTCATTCCCGTGGACGAGTTTTGGTACTCTACTGCGCAGTGACGTAGTATTTGAGTGCTTGCAATGTATTTCTTATGGGAGCACCCATTGTGACGTAGTATTGAGTGCAGCCGAGTTTGGGCCGGGCGGGGAAGTGGCTCTCAAAAAGATGCGCAATGACTGACCTGTGTGGATTGGTCTTGTTCCTTAACACCCAAATGTTTTTTGGGAGAGGAAATCTGTACCAGAAATGTACTGAAACGATTCCTTTCCTAAGAAAGATCCTGTTCCGATCCCTTTCCTAGGAAAGATTCTGTGCTGATCCCTTTCCTCGGAAGGATTCTGTTCAGATAGATTACAGAAGCCCTTACTAACTTGTGATTTAAACTTTTTAGAACTTAACATTTTGTATCAAAAATTTTATTATTCCAGCAAGTGTCTCAATCCACATGCTCTCTAGTACTGATATTTAAGCGTCCATGTACTAATATTTACAGTCCAAAATAAGGAGGTACAAGAACTGTGCTTTGCCTCTAAGCTGTTTGTATGATAATGTAATCATCCCAAACTTGGTATTGCATAAGACTGCCTTTACAGTGTCCGAGATCTTACAGAGTATCTTACACTGTATTTTGAACTTTGTGCCAAAGTTTGCCGAATTTCTCGCTTTTAGTGTCTGTTTTTTGTTGATATGTAATTTTTTTGAATTTGCATTTTTGCTAGACTTTTAAGTCGCCATACGCTTTTAATTTCGAAGTAAGTTTGTAGTCTTTTTCTTATTTTGTCACAAATATTTGCTCAAGAGAATTAAGTGTAATCTAATTTATACGAACATGGATGGTTAGATGTTGATTCCTATGTTCATATTCACCCCTATATTTAGCTATTTACTTGGTCTGATCAAATCTAAAAAAACGAAAAGTAGACGCAAAATGAGCGAATCACCGAGTGAAATTGAAAATCAAAATTATAAATTATCATTAACTCGAATTTTGATCAAGATTAATCCAGCCATTCCGGAAGGAAGTATATCATCACATTATTTTTCACCTTTCTATTTTTGTATTCACTTTTTATTTTTTTTAAATTTAGATATATATTTTTGTTCCAAATCGTGTACATACATTAGCCATGGAAGTAAAACATATCAAAATGAGATTTAACGTTTTTATAATATTTTTATTATTATCTCTTGTACATTTGTGTTGAGATGTATGTCTGTAAAGATGTTTGTAATATACAATCATTACTTGTTTAATACCTTTTTTTGTTCGTGATTTCTTTGCTACCGATTATTAATGAAGTGCAATGGAAGGAATTTAAATGATGGGGTGTCAGCAGATACCCTGTTTTTCTTTTCTTTTCTTCCCACTTCAAATAGCCCACAAGGGCTAATCCTGCGCTTTTTCTAGTCCTGTCCCTACCAACCAGTCCCAGGCACCCATTGTTGTTAAGTGATCAGAAAAACAAATTACTGTTTTTTCACAATTTGTGGGTGGTATTATTTGAATACATGTGAAAACTTGCATGAGATTTCATGCTAAAATTTTATTCAATGTTCCTATGCGAAAATTCTAATCAAGAGACAAAGTACTCCAAAATTTTAGGTCTTCTAGTTTTTCTGTATAATCTAGCATCTTCGTTTCTTAATATCTTTGTAAATTTAATTAATGTAGATAAATAAGAGGCATACGGCCCAAGTATAGTATGTACAAATTTTTAAGAAATAAAAGAAAAAATATAAAAGTAGAGCAATATGCAAACCAGATGAATGTTTTTCTAGCCGTGGATAAATTATCAGCAAGACTTTCCTGCAAAATATACCAGGAAAAAACCCTCTAATGTGAAAAGTCAAATACTTCATGCAAATAAAACTGAGTAAAATGAGGTCAGCAAAATATTGGGATCAAACACTTGTATGATAGGGATAATAAAATATAATATAATTTGATGTTGTTTTGTTTAATATCTGATCTTGTTGCAACAAAAAGTACCGATTTCAACGGCTCAATCTGTTATAAACAGAGATATTGAATAAAAATAAAGAGAAATCAACTTCAACAATTTTAACAATTGCAAAACTTAAATACGATCGAGCCTTTTGGACAGAACTTATAGGCTCTGAATAACATCTGAAGTTTCGTGATCAAAGCAACGATGATTTAGTGCATGACACCTCACAGAGGAAAACAATGGACCTGATTTTTGACTGATAATGTATCCATCTGAAAATCAACTATCCTCTTCGTAGTTTTCAGTTTTCATATCATTCAATCCAAGCTCTTCGTTCTGATCGAAATTCCTTTCATAATGGGTGATCTTCAGTCCATCGTCAGGGTCTGGAGGCGTTTTACTCTGCAAATAATACAAATGAATGAGGAAATCTAAAAGTATGGGAGACAAAACAATTTTTTCTCATTTTCGTTGACGGCAAAGGTTGCGGTAAACCTTAAGTGCCTCTCAGATTTGAGACAAAGATGTCGACATGACATCATCCAAATTGTAATGAGTATTTCTGTTTCAAAGAAACAAGCACTGTGGCTATAATATCAACATTTTTGTGACAACATCATCGAGACAAAGGAAGGGAATGAAAGTTCCCAAAAAACAGTTAAAAGACAAAACCAAAATTATCAGTTCATTAAGGGAGCTGAGATAAAGAATGAAAATAACTTTTACATCCCACAAAAATCACCCTTTTAACATTGCGTAACGCTTGCAAATACCTGGCAGCTGAAGCTTCCTGCAAATTATGGATAACTTCAAAGTCATATGACTGACAAACTAGCTCTCATAGTTCAAGGCTGCATGAATAGAATTTGCATTAAAACTAAACAAGCTTCTGGGCATAATGGGCCACTCAGCAACGTGCGAATATAAGCCAGAAGATGAATGTTATCAGGTAGAACACCATGTCTGCAACTTTGAAAGTAACTCCTAACCAAGATCTTAACTGCAATGACTTACTGCTCATGAAAAACACCATCCTTTACATGAGTTAAAACCGATACTAAATGCCACCATAGCAGTACATATCTACAGTCTTCTTCAGTATGAAAATATGGCAACCTCAATCATAGCACTTCAGCTCAGCTGTTGCACATTGTTAACACTTTGAGCAAAACAGGACAAGGATGGAACACTACTCTATTAAAAACCCTGCCAAAACTGTTGTGGTACCGAGTAGTGCGCGATTTGAAAACAACGAAACAGAACAGAGAACAGAAAATAAATAAGAACAGAAAATTTAAATTTTCCTTAACCACTGCAAAATAAAACCACTGATGTCTTAGTTAAGAGGTAATTTCACTAATTTTCACAGAGCAAATCATATTCTTTGTAAAATTTTGGAGAGGCACACATACCAGAATGCTTAAATTTATACCATGTCTAATGGTCAATTGGACATATTTATGCGAAAAGGAACTATGCGCAAGTGGAAAGATGGGGTGTGCTCGTGGAAGCTGGATAAGAAACAATGTAAAAGTGGATATAAGTAGTTCCTTTTGAGAAAATGGAAAAGCATGATTTGACATTAAATCAAAAGGAACTGAGCACTAACTCGTGAGCCGTGGGCATGTCACAAGAGCCTTGTGGACAGGGCTCATGAGTTAAAGACTGACGACCTAGTCGTCGTTGCTTATGTAGCGCCTCGTCCTGCCCAGTCCTCATCACTAACGTTACTGGCGCTTTTAAAGTTCTATTCATTCTTATGGTCCGAGCACTAACGAGCATACCCCATCTTTCCACTTGCACATAGTTCCATTTAGTATAAATATGTCGAATTCTGAGGTACTGTCGTAGTTTAAGTTAGATGTACCTGAACATAACTATTTCCGGCAGGGTCATCCAGGACTAGAGTGATTTGTGTCTTTTGTTTCAATACATCATCTAACCGGGTAAGAAACTCTTGCAGTTTCTCTAGGGAACCTGGCTCTGCACTGTCACTAAACATCCGCCCTTGAGAGTCCAGCTGTTCCTTCATATTTACGATTAAGCCTTCGACAGTCGTAAACTTCCCGCCAAGAGCGGCAGATCCGACTTCCAGGTCCAGCTCAGGAATTGATACACTGCAAGTCTCCGACTGGGAACAAAATTTAGGATAATTTTAGACCAAACTACTCAAAAAAAAATATCTGTTCGTAAGATTATGTCTCAACTATTAATGATACATCGATGGCTAAAGTGCAAAACGATGTATCTTTATTGCGGGATTTCCAATTTTCTGCTCCTATTTTAGTTTTGCGGAGAGAAGCAAGTCAACTTTACACCTTGAAATTTAAACAGAATATTTGGCTCAAATAGAGGAAAAGGTAAGGAAGTTTCCGAGAAATTATGCTAAGTAGTTCTTCAAAGAACAGTGAAATATGACAGGAAGTCTGCAAAGTTGTGAACGGAGATACTTAGTTCCGTACTTTCGCCATCGATATAAATGATACCAGGAAAACCTATGACATTTCTTTAAAATATTGAGAAAATACTAGAAAAAAGATAATATTTTGATTAAGTTACTTCACGATCCAAGATTCGCCGTGCATTTGCCACTATCTTAAGATCCCAAGATCGAGCATTTTTTGTGACCCAGCAAAATATTAGAGCCGTATTTTACAATTTTTTTACAGACTTGTTTAGTAACATCATAACTGAAGCATGTTTTCCAAGTTTCATCATTCATAGGTTTTTTTCTACACATCGAAACGGTGAATTTAAATAAATTTCATGTCATTCTTTAATCACCACACTAATGATTCTTAGTCCACACTATTGCATTGGATAAAGAAAAAACTAGATTGAAACCAAAGGTCTTCAAAAAATCATTAGTAAAGGATCCATCCTTTAAATTAAGAAAATTAAAAACTAGAACAGAGGAACTGAATGCAGCAAATCTTTACTCCATCTTTTCTTTGCATAATTCCAAGAGTTGACATTTCTAATAGTCTTATTTGTTTGTGGCAGAAAATTTTTAAGTGAAATGCACAAGATCGCAAACAGGGACAAACGTGAACAAATATGAAATGCGTATTGATTTGAGCCTGCAGAAACCTGCTTTAAGTCCTCCAACTGAGGAGTGGTGCTTCATTTTGGNATCAAAAAACTTAAATTCGATCGAATAGCTTTCTACTTTCACAATACACGGTCTCGTCAAGGTGCGTCTTTGACCTCGCAGTGTTGGATCGTGAATTCTCTTTTTATGCTGTTTGCCTATTTTGAAATCTCTGTAAATGAAAACTAAAGGGGTTGATATGTGCGAGTTAATGACGCGCCTTATCAACACATTGTGTTGGAGTTCACTGCTTGTTTTATCCTATTAATATTACTTACTTTGAGAATATCGCGGCATAAATCTTCTTTGTCAACAACGCTGACCTCTATTTTTAAGCCTTGAGGTTCAATTCCGCCTCCGCCCTTCACTTCGTTAGAGCGGTGCCCACAAGCTTCACAGGTTGTCGCCATGATAACCATCTCCTTGAAATAAGGAATATCTAAGAATGGCTAAGGATGAATATTAATGAACAAAAACTCTTTTAATTGAGAAAAGATACAACAAAATTATTTTTATTCTTCGTAGAAGCAATATGAGAAGCAGGTAAAGTGTCAGACAAGTTTTGGTGAAGAAAATTTGCTTGTAGATTCTTCAAAAGTAAATTCAATACTATAATCAAAGTAACGCTCAAGTTCGATCTTCTTTAGTCACTTGATTGAAGTGACACCACTGTTACCATCATGTTATAATTATAACTCGAATCAAGATTCAAGCAACACTATTCCAAACCAGACCCAGTGAAATACTTCAGTAGACCTTAATTTGTGACCGGATCCTGTGAAATGGGATCTTATCTCCCATGAGAAAATTTTCCCATAATTTATGCAAAAAGTTATATCACATTTTTCTACAACCTAAACTTTTTTTTTTGGAACTTCAGGACTCGTATTTCTAACAATTTTTGAGCTTTCAGTGTCAAAAAATGCTCCTAAATATCCAAATCATCATCCATTCTGCACTTGAAAAAATGTGAGGAAAATATTCTCTATGGGGAAAAAGGTCATTCATAGATTCAGTCACATTTCCATTTCCCTGCTATTTTTGAATTAGAAATCGAGAAAATTACATCAAAGAAAAAGAAATCTATCCATAGGAAAGTTTAAAACGTACAGCTGGCTCTAATTATCAATAGAGTATTGTGTGGTTTTCACTAAAATTTCATTTTATGCATCCCTATCTATCATATGTTCCAAGTCCTGAATTATGAGCATTAGGTATCTCTTTTCCAAAATGTCCAGTGTAGGCTGACTTATTGTATTAAAGTGCGTCTTTGTGTGAAAATGTTGGGGCAAGAGTAAATATGAAAACGCACAAAAATTTGTGTTGTTTGGCATCCTAAAAGGCAAGTAAGAAATCCTCCACCTCCCACTTTGTCTTTCATAAAACACATGTTAAATACGTTTTTGTTACAGGTTTATGAACATATGCAGGGTTTTTACTTTTCTTCGATTTTCCAATTCCCTGTATTTTCCCTGCAATGTTTGCATGAAATAACTCTTTCCTAAAACGCATTTGTTACAGAAGTATATAACTATACACTGCCAAGACTCTGATTGTTGACAACTTGAAAAGGCTACCTTCAACTTGTAAAAATCTTGTCCAACTTAACTATCACACAATACTTTTCTACATTGGAGTGGTTACGCACAAATGGTCGAGACCTGTGGATTTTGAAAACGCAAAAATTCCAGAGTTAAGGTCAAATTCCCTATGTTTTTCCTTCAAATTCAATGCCTCGAGTTTCCCCTGCTTTCGCTTTAGTAGTAGAAACCCTACAGATGATTTCAAAAACTGCAACCACGATGCAAAATGCCTCACCACTTTACTTTACAAAATATGTATTTTTGAAAAAGATTCATTTAAAAAACTGTTGCAGAGGTCATACTCTATAATATCAAATCTTGAGACTAATGTATAAAGCATAATGCCTGAGGTATAAAGTGCTTTGGGGAGTTGGAGCGTCAAGCTGCCCGTTGAACGTGAGGTGATTAAAAGGATACTGGTCATCTTCATGTTGGTATCACAAGGTGCACTGCAGTTAGGGCAATTGGTTCTGAAGCATAGCACCTCGCCTTCAAGATCCTCTAGAGTGTGACCTGTTTCATTGATAGGAGGAAGAATATGGTCCTGCTGCTTCGCTTCGTTGTCTTCTACCTCCGAGTGATCGAAAATTCCCAGTGCATGGTCTTGCTCTTTCGTCCGGACAAAATGGTGTGACGTACAATCAGGATCTCTTTGAGGTGCATGGGGATTTGATACAAAACAGTTTCCACTTATATCTTCGAAGCACTAGAAAAAGGAGAGGATGAATCAATTTAAAAAACAGACTCAATATAGTCAAGAGAATGAAAAATGCAAGGAACTCATAATTGCACTATTGATTGTGTTAAGATGAGAATTACTGTGGAAGAGATGCATATTTTAATTCCAAAAGCAACTCAACTAAAGCTCAAATGAAACCAAACTCATTATCTAATTAAGCTCTCTCAACGCATTTAAATGCTTCTACAGATGAACATAGCATATTTTATTGCCTACTCAATTGCAGAGGCATCAAAATTTTCAACTCTTTAATGCACATTCTACTCTGGAGTTAGGCTTTTCAGACGTTGAGCCATATTCAATGTAGATTTCACTCATTAATAAAGCAGTGGTTGGTGAAACAAAGCTATAACTTAATTACTGTCAGTCCTTCAAGAAAAGTGGGATTTGGGAGGGAAAAATCCTTCCGATCCACCACTGATGCTAAAGAAAAGGGTGAGGAAGAGGCGTTCAGGTTGGGATTTTTCACTCATAAAAGTGCTATCACTTTTCAGAATCCACTGTCTTTCATTATTTCTCTGTTCCTCAGCCTTCTGACACGGGATATTATACAATACCTTATAGAGAACCAACCAGACGAACAATAAGGAGATGTATGAAACGAGAGAGCAAAGAAAAAAAGTTGATCAATTCTTTGGTTCAATTTACTGGCTCAGTTTACGATGGTGGCCTATCATGGCAAGTCAAAGCTTTCACCTTGCATTGCCAATCACAAGACTCAAACAGACCTGAACTGCCTCTGTTCTCCTAACTTTACTCTTGAATTTACCTTGTAGCTCCTGCATGTGGTCATTCTTGTTTCGCTGTGCATCATTTCTAAGTTTTCCTGCAAAATCTGGGACTCCTTGAGAAAACACAGACAAAGCTCCCAGCTCCTCACAATATTTTCAGTTCCACTGATTGGAATTTCTGAAGTTTAACTGCTGTAAAAACTGGTACCATCTTCCACTCCCAGAACAAGCTTTGTAGCTATAAAGCACTCCCTTCATAACATCCTTCTGGCATTGATGCCTGAAGGATTGTGGTTTGATGGGGAACATTATGTCTAAAAACTCCTTTTGAAATCTTACCATTGTAAAAGGTTCTTTGACTTCCAACAGACCAACTAGCTTCTCAATGTGTTTACCGAGAACATCAGCTTCCACCGGATTGGCTTCTAGGCTCTTGGAATGAATCTCCTGAAAACTCGAGATAGCGCTTGAAATAACACTCTCCACTGTTGTCACATCTATAACGTAAAAAAAAGCAATGATTATGATACATCAGTCAGGGCTTCAACATCAAAGGGATGAAAGAGACATTTGGCTCTCATAATTGTTTCATACAAAACATAGACATACATACAGCAAATTGGAATGAAGTTATACTAAAATGCAAGAAGGATATCATTCCAAAATTCAAACGTAGCGCATTCTGCAGCATAGAATTCTTACTTAACTGGATTTTCGGAGTCAATAAAATATTGAAGATGCCGGCAGCGATGAGATAAATGCCCAATCTTGCGATCCTAGAATCGCAGCCAACATGAGGCAATTTTTAAAAATAATGACTCCGATTTTTTTGTGTTTCTAAAATACTTGAAAAATTGGGGTAAATTGCACATACTACCAAGAAATTTTGCACTCTGCCATGAAATTAGACTTTAAGAAAAACCCTGGATCGTGATACTATGTTTTAGAACTTCAAAAATGTTTTGTGAATTGGAAAATGATATCACAAATGTGGCATGTGATACAGTGGCTGGAAGGTAAAGAGATTCATTTACTCTGTTAAGGGAATGGATTGTTATCTACCAGTGAGTTCAACTTGTAAAGAGAAATACAAGATTGCACATCCAACACTATGTCCTCATTTATACAAGTAAGCTGAGAAATGTGCAAGTTGTCCTTCTGAGGAAGAGTGCATGTGGAATTAAAAGTAAAAAATGTTTATCACTGTACCTCCTTTGGTAGATTTGACTTCAAATTCGATCGCAGGGACATTTATTATTGTATGTTCAGATTTAACAACTGTCCGGTTCAGATCTGCTACCGTGTTCACAACCAACTTGATTCGGATCCCTTTCTCTTGAATTTCGCCTCCTGACTGTAGTTCGTTGTTCTGATACCCACAATCGTCACATGAGAAGGACATCAATACAACTTCTTTGTAGAACGGGATCTTCGTCAGGAGTATTCTGGTGGTACCCTGAAAAGGCACAATAATGTGTTGGGTAATGATACAAGTATAATTCTAATTTCACTTAATTTACTTGAAGTCATGTCAAAAAAGGTGTATACTAGTCTCTTGGCCGCAATTCGATCAGAGCGTTGCCAACAAGAATGGAGAGACCGTAACTACGTTCCTGTGACGTTACGCTAGTAAATGGGACTCGGACGCAGTTTAACATGTGTTCTTGTGGGAAAACGCCTGATGCATGTTCCTTTCGTGTTGATATCTTCAAGGGGGCTGATCTAATGCAAAATTTCATAAGAACCTTTTGGGAAGGGTTGAAATTTCACTCCAGAAAACTAACCAAATCATTAATGACATTGTCTGCTAATCGAGGAAATGAAAGCTTTGTACCAAAAATCGTTACTCTTCTCAGATTCAAACGCGCCGCTCAAGCAAGTTTGGCCACTCTGATTGGTCAGCGACTGCCTCACTCATCAATGGCCCGGTTGTGCTTGTTGTTTTCGGTAAATATCTGCTAGCTTGACGTCACAAAACTAACTAGTTACAGCCTCTCCATTCTCGTACACAACGTTCAGAGCTGATTTTCTGAGGATCCTTAAGCCCAATGTACACTATTCAACTCTACTTCGCTTTTAGATGAATGAAAAGCTAGATGATGTTATTCTGACAAAAGAACACAACAATATGAAGAAAAGTTGAACAGGCACTAGAATGGGAAGTCACATTCAACTTTTCGTTCTTATCGACTTGGCTGGAAGTTTGAGAAAAAATATTCTGGCAAATATTGGAGCTGTATCTTCGCAAACTGGAAGCTGCTTCAAGTACCCGAAATCCGTTTGATGATAGCACACTGCAACAGCAGTTAAACCAATTCTGTGGCGTTCAACTTTCCATCCAACGTCCGATGCTTGAGTCAAATAAAAAGTTGAATGGTGTAAATTGAACATTATTATGACCATTGAAAGTAGCCAGAATCTTAAACAAGGGGTTATCATCCTCACCACATCCTGGAATTAATATTATGGAATAATTCACTGTCTTTCAGCATCACTGACTTTAATACTATTTACACTTCTCGGACAGATAGATAAATGGCCTAAGTATGACACCACGTACTTCCAAAATTAAGAGATTTATGTTATGGATGCTATCATGAGATCGAGGTCACGATAAAGAGATTATTTTCCTTTCCATGGAACAGTGGATCGATACTCCGCAGATCTGTCTTTAGAGTAACTTTCCAAACCAACTGACCAACTGCATGTTACACCTGAGGCAATGGACTAAGATATGGCAATAGTAATTTGGAGAATGGGAAAATCTTACATTTTTCTGACAGTTCATACACAAGCTTTCAATTTCTGTGACTTCGGGCTCAGTATCATCGGGATCCAGGGGGCGAAATAAGGGCTTTTGATGTTTTATTTCACCCATTCCAGAAGGAGAGATATTCTCCGAGTCTAGACAAAACAGTAAACGGTAGCACAAAATATTAACAGATGAAAAAATACACACAAGGAGGATAAAATTGCTGATCCAGCACAAAATGAAAATAGATGTTTCCAGAAACCTTACAAAAACATGGAAAACCTAACCTCAAAATTACGCGACCAAAGATTTTCCCAATTATTCCTCTTTTCGAACAGAAGGAATCTTAACCGCAAATTCTGAACCAGACGCTTTGATTGGTCTAGAGCGGTTCATTCCATTTATTCCAAGTTGAACCAAAATAAGCGGGAATTTCAAATAATTCCGGATATCCTGTTTACCAAATAGTTTCCGTTTCCGGAAAGCGGTGTTGTCAGTTTTATTTATCAATGCTCGGAAAACTGACAACACTGTTTACCGGAAACGGATACGATTTGGTAGACAGGATATCCGGAATTATTTGAAATTCCCGCTTGTTTTGGTTCAACTCGGAATAATTGGAATGAACCGCTCTGGACCAATCAAAGCGTCTGGTTCAGAATTTGCGGTTAAGATTCCTTTTGTTCGAATAGAGGAATAATTGGAAAAATGGGTTGTAAAAGTTGTTTTTGAAAAACCGGCGGCAAATTTAAAATGACGGGCTTTTCACTGGGTACTACCGCATTCGACAAGCGTTCGACGGATCTCGCTAGAAACAATTTCCTCTATTATTTAATTTATTTTGCAAAAACCACAATGGCGCCTCTAGTTAATGTTGCCTACAAATACTTCTTGAGCTCAAGAATGCTCTCAAAATTAAAGTTGTAATGGAGGTTAATTGTCAGATACCATGGGAGAATCAATTGTTGCATTTAAGTTAACCTTTTTTATTTAGAGACTGCAATTTTATACACAAGCAAGGATAACTCTTTCATTTTAAGAAAAGATACTTTTTCATAATATCGGAAAATTTGCCACAATCACAACATTAACTTAGAAAGCTTTTTTTTTTTTAGGTTCTCGTATTTTGATACAGCCCAGAAAGACAAATTCTCACATTCCTTGAACTTGTTCTTGAGGCCTGGGTCCCCAAAACGCTTTCACATTGAGCATGTAGGCACTACAGTAGATTAAAGATAAAGGTTGAGAACAGGCTCGAAACATATTTTTCATCTCTCTCTTCCCATAGAAGGTTACTCTATGATATTTTTTATCTAAAATTATTTTATTTTAATCCTTTAGGTTAATAAAATGATTATCTGAAAACTTGGTTAAATTGATGATTTATGTATTTCTAAACTTGAGTCAACTCAACTCTCAAACGATTTTACAAAAGGATAACCGAAACACTGATTGATATTTTTTTGATTTTGTCAGAAAAAATTTAACAGCACATAATAGTACAGTCAAGGGGGTCGAGACTTGACCCATTTGATGACTATGAATGGGACTTTTTTAGGTCGAAGACTTCTCCCCTCACCCACTCTTATGTACCTAAGCTTTTTGTTACAGCACGGACAGCAAAAAGGCAGGAATGTATCCTATTTCAATGAAAATTACACTGATTTTTCTGAAAAGAAGGTGTAATGTCAATGTTGACACAACAAGTGGTGATAAACAAATAAAAATGCACAGAGACGGCTTTGCCACTGGACTTCAGCTGTTGAGAAACACAACCGGGAAAGTCTTGAGTTTGCCCCATTTTTTCGCACGTAGAATCAAAATGAAATGCAAGAAAAAATTTTGAACGTAAAAATATTTTATTTAGTGAACTTTCAAGAAAAAATTATAATATGAAACTAACAAATACAACTGTACAAACAATTTATACACAAAAGTATCACAAAATTTAGGACAGAATCACAGAGTATTTAAAGTAAGACGCCTCCCAAAACCACCTATTCTCGACTTGGAGAGCGCATCGTGAATCTCTGATTACACAACACTCACAAGGTAACACACTAAATTCTTCATGGTATTTTACAGAATGACTCCGGCATTACATCACTAAGTCTCTCAGTAGGAAACACTGACTATTTGGTATGTTTTGATGAATGCTATTTGAAGAGCATTGAGGGACGTTATTCTACTGCATGATTCAATTCAATATTACTGAAATTGATCACAACCATTATACAAACTTGGGTATTTGTGATGCATAACCTTTTTTAATGCTAACAATGCTTTAAGTGTTAACAATGCTGACAAATCGATCACTACTGGATATTCAATAACTACCTTTGGTGGAAGTCTAAATCAGTCCGTCAAGAGAGGAATCATATTAAGAATAATTGCAGGAAAATACATAGCACCAAGTGACCTGACAATGTCGTACAGAACTGAACTATTCCCATGCTGTGTAGATTAAATTGTAGATCCTTGCGTTGTATCATACAACCATAGACGCAGTAAACAGTTCCAAAACTTTTCATTATTTAGATACCATAGGGGTCATTCCATGCCAGCTGGTGCCACTTTGAAAAAGTGACCCCCTCAGAATTTGATGAAATTTGGCACACTTATTGACCATGCATAGCTTAGTAAAAATCTAAAATTTTAAGTTGATACGACCACCCATTGGGCTTTTATGAGACTCTGAAAGTTCGCAAAACTTAGCTCCTTCGGAGAAATGTCACCACTTCAGTGATGTGTAACTCCGGAATGGTTCATCCAAAATCAACCGTTCTTGTATCGTTGGAAAGCCCAAAGAAAGAGCTTTCCAGACATGTACAACAAAATTGGGCTTACCTCAAAAATTTTTTTTTGGCGCAAATTTTAATTTTCAAAAGGATATAACTCAAAATTGGACATTTTTATTTCTTTGAAGATTTCGTGAGACGTGGATGACAACTTCGACTGAGCGTATACAAAATGTCCGAGTGGAGACTTGGTGGAGTCAAAAGTTAAAGAAAAAAAAGTTCGGAGATGCGAAACTCCGCCGCGGCGGGATCCGCTGATGCCAAATCGACAGCTCCAATATTTACGACTTACGGCCCAGCAGCGCGCGTTTGGCAGGAAGAATTGAAGCACCTCCAACAGCAACGAAAGATCTGTTTCAAATTTCTCTTTCACGCCTTCCTCTGAAGAATACTACTTCGGGACACGCAATTCACTATGGAAGGAATCCGTATGCGAATTGTATTTCCAATCTGCACGAACGTTGCTATGGTGGCCTCTTCTCATCATCATTTTTTCCTATTCCCCCCCCCCTTTTTTTAAATTTTTTTTTCTGTCATGTAATAAAAATCTATTTGACAGGAAAATTAGCATCCGCACACGTTACTGTGACTCCATTATTGCAACAGTAAATATATTAGCCTAACTCTTCAAAGGAAAAAATGAAAATTTGTGCGTATTATATCTGTAATTCTGCTTGTTTTTTTTTCTTTTTTATTTTCAAAATTAAATTTCCTCTCTGCATTCAAAATCTCTCGTCCTCCGTTTTTTAAATTAAGAATTATCTAAGTTCGCCACAGTTTTTTAAAGTTTGCATCCTATCGCACTAATAGCCCCTTAGGAATCCATGATCATTTTTATGGAGATATTGCTAAACATCTGAACTTATGCTCCCTAGTCTCTATGTGGCGTTATTATGACCTCATGTTTTTGTTTAAACTTGTTGATAAATTTGATTGATTCTCCTACTCTTCTTAGCTACATTCATTCATTTTCTTGTTCCTCCAAGATCTTTGCAAAATTTAAATCGCCTATCTGTTATCCCCTCACATACTGTCATCTGGAAGCATAGATCTGTTATTCCCAGAATTTCAGATTTTGCAAATAGCTGTACGGAATGGATCCAATTTTACAGCCTGGGTATCTCGAATTTTAAGTCTTTGGTGAAAGAACGAGTTCTAGTTATTTATTAGTCACACTCTCTTTGCCCGTTTTGTTGTATGTTTTGTTGCCTTTGTTTTTATTTAAGTGTTATGTAATTGGGACATGTCCTGTTGAAATTGAAATAAAGAAATAAATAAATGTTCAAAAATTATATTTTATCTGAAAAGTTCTTGCTACCCCCTCCTCATCCATCGAAGTCTCCTCAAATTCTACAGAACCCATTTTAGGCACCTGAGTGAAAAATGGTTCGCAATGAAACGAAACGAAAATCGTTCAATCTTTTCTTTTACAATCCCTTCAAAAAGGACAATCATTCAAAAATTAAAAAATCACTTAGAAACATGCAAGACTGGATGAGAGAGTTAGTTGAAATGCCACCCGACGCTAAAGTGTGCGCAGAGTGCAGGTGGAGGCTGCAAGTATTACGACCCCTAGAACAAGCAAGTTTAGAACCCTAACCCTCAACAAGTGCGCAACCACAGTTTGAGCTGGATACGTCAATCGCTTCCGATCCATCTTTTAGGAGTTAGTCGGATGTTTTGGATACTCTTGATGTTTTGTTGAGTGTATATGGAAAATTGCCAATTAAAAAATAACGCTTGACGGTTAAGGACTACGCGAAAACCAAGTTGAAGCAAGTCAATGAAGCTTTAAAATCGCGAGTTTTTCGGAGAGCACCTCCTGAAGACGAAGAAACAGAGCTCCTTGAACATTTGAAAACTGTCTTTCAAGATTTAAATACTAGAGAGGAAAAATTGACTTTACTCACACTGTTCCCCGAAAATTGGATAGGCCGCAAGTTGAGGGACACTTTTGACCTTTACTGGCACATTGTTACGGATGCGCATCAGCTTTTAATGAGAAAGAGCCCCCTTTTCTCCCCAGATTAGAGGCCCGGTCGAAATCTACGCCCTGAAAACCTCACAATGGTTCAAGAATTTTACAACAGCGATGAAGTAGGGCGAATGTTACCAGGCATAAAAGATTTCATAAGCTCAAAGAATGACAAGGGGGACAAAATTCACGTTCAAAAGCGATTAATTTTGGGAAATTTATGAGAGGTGTACAAGCTTTTTAAGGAGCAACATGCAGATGTTCAGATAGGGTTTCCCAAATTTGCAGAGTTGACACCCAAAAATTGTATTCTAGCCGGGCACCCATTCTGTTTGTATTTGTTTAACTCACCAAAATTTAAAATTGATGATTGAAAATACTAACTTGTTGCGGCTAACGGATGGCATCATTCCGTCCTACCACGACTGCCTCAAAATCATAATGTGCGAAACCCCCATAGAAAAATGTCACCTCCGCGAGTGTTCCTCCTGTCCGGGTATTCCAGCCGTACAGTCAATCATACGAGAAGCTTTGGAGATGAACGTCATCGAAACAGTGACTTTACGGCAATGGCTGAATGTAGATTGATACAATCTAGAGATGCGGATAACAACTTCCGATGAATTTGTCAATCTTTTTTCAAACCAGCTTGCGGAACTTCGTTACCTCGAGTTCATTGCCAAAGAACAGAGCAGATTCTTGAAGGAAAAGAAAGCAGATCTACCAGCAAACGAAGTTTTAATCTTGGGCGATTTTGCTGAAAATTACTCCTTTACAGTGCAGGATGAAGCCCGGTCTTTCCATTGGACCAACAATCAGGCAGTGCAGCACCCGTATGTAATTTACTACTCTGAAAACAACTCTTTAAAGCATTTGAATTTTGTTATAATATCGTATATATCGTATATATTGTAGAGAGCACAACACTGTTGCTGTATATTTGTTTCAGGGGCTATTAATTCGTTTCTTGAGGGAGAAACTGGGTAATAATTTTGATAAGGTCATTAACAATTATTATGATCTCATGTTTTTGTTTAAACTAGTTAATAATTTTATTGATTCTCCTACTCTTCTTAGCTACATTTATTGTCATGTTCCTCTGAGATCTTTGCGAAATTTAAATTGTCTATTTGTTATCCCCTCACATATTGTCATCTGGAAGCATAGATCTGTTATTCCCAGAATTTCAGATTTTGCAAATAGCTGTATGGGATGGATCCAATTTTATGGTCTAAGTATCTCATATTTTAAGCCTCTGGTGAAAGAACGAGTTCTAGTTATTTATTAGTCACACTCTCTTTGCCCGTTTTATTGTATGTTTTGTTGCTTTTGTTTTTATTTAAGTATTATGTAATTGGGACTTAATCCGTTGAAATTGAAATAAATAAATAAATAAATAAATAAATGAATAAATAAACAAAGTCCTCTATTTTTCCGACGGCTGCACGGCGCAATATAAAAATAGGAGACATTTTATTAACTTCACTTATCATACACTTCATAAGTTCAAAAAATTGTAGTTCCTGATTGGAAAATGCGGTTCATTTAATGAATTGAATCGAATGTCATTGAAATAAAACGCGCAGACTCACAAAAATATACGGGCACATTTTCCCTTTCCACTGAGGAGTTATACAATTACCGTGGTCCGCATGTCTTCAATTTAGATACACCATATCGACATAGAAATTGAAGAATTAAATTGATCATCGTTTTAAAATCAATGAAGATTAGACTTCGGGCTACGTTCTGTACTCTGCGGAAGCATGAATCATTATGCACCTATTCCAAACCCAACAAAATATCCCGCACAGCTGATTTAGCGTCACCTACACATTTCTTTTTCATCGATTTTTCAAAGCAGCACCAGCTGGCATGGAATGATCTAGCAGCCACAATTCGCGGTGGCCTTCACAGAAGGATTTTTTCCAAAGTTGAGAGCCTAGAGGCAAGACTGTAGACCAGCAGGCTCCAAAAAGCCTGGAGTTGGTCGAGCGACAGTCCCTGGATGATTTTACGTGGAGTGACCCAATTAGGTCAGTATTTTGAGTGAAGTCATTATTCCAACTTTCTGAGAAAACTACTACTATTTGCTATGCTGGAAGCTTCGACTTTTTGACACTTCACCCTAAACTAGACAAGGTCCCTCGAATCACTAAATTCACAGAGTTCTATTCGTGACCCCTTGGGTCGGATGCACATGAATCGTGAAGAAACTCACTATTTTGGATGAAGTCATTATTAAGACTCTGTTTATACAAAATTTTACTTCATAGCAATATTCTTCGACATCATCTTAAGAAGGCAAAAAACACAGCAGCTCATTGTCACATGGATTTGAGCATTTACAATAATATAGATAGTATTCAAAGAGAGTTATAGGATGACAAAAATACCGATTTCTTGCTCAAAATACACAACTTGAAAACTCATAGTTGGAGTGGTCAATCTCATTACTGTACAGGTTTGTACAGTACATCCAAACAGCACAGAGATTAAGATCTTGAGTATGAAGATTGATGAAAAGTAATGGTCCTTCCTGTTGTTCCAAGTAATCTGTCAAGGCAACACAAAAAGACGCCACCAGTCAGTGTACAATTCTGAAAATAATTCGTCAGGATTAATTTGTGGAAGCATTGAAGTGCTCAACTCTACACAAGAAATAATTTGACTCCAAGGCATGAAGAAAGAGAGGTATATATTGCTTCGACTCGATATACCTGTCTTTGGTTCTTTTTGGCATAAATACGTGTAATTTTTAAATTGAATTATCTTCGTTATCATATTTTTCTAATAATCCAAATCAAGCTAAAATGTTTGTTTAGTGTGTTATCTACTGATAGTAACTTTTTACAGAGGAGCTTATACGGTATTTGATTTTATATTTGCTTTGACTTAAAAAGCTCTTGTTAATTAAATAATTTTGGACCTCAATATGTATTGGATTCGGAAAAGTTTAGTGTTACCACAGAATTTAGAAAATTAAATTCCCAGACACATTTTGATCCGATTTCCTGACAGTTAAAGATATGCCAGATGGTTAAAAAGACAAAATTGTAAACAGTTTTAAAAAAAAATTGGTTGTTCGAAACATCACACCCATTCAAGAAAGCAAATTAAGGTGGCTTAACAATTGGACTACATTTTGCAATTTGGAACTATAAATTCTAGCCCGGTTAAAAAACAACGTATGTGCCATTAATTTCCCTATGCACATAAGTGTTTTTCCAGAGGAGCCAGAATTCATAGTTCCAAATTGCAAAATGCAGTCCAATTGTTTCTCAACACTTTTGTCTTTTCCCCGGCATTCCCTGGTTTTCCTTGACTGTGGCAACCCTGTGGCTTCCATGGGACCATTGGCCTTCCTTAACCTGTCTAGTGAACTACTGAGCTGATACTGAACCAATTTGGTATGATTAGAAGTAGAATAAAAATGAGATACTCACAGGTAATAGTTCCATGACCATGAAAGATCCACATTTTAGAGAGGCGGTGCTAAAGAATTGAGCGCAAGCATGACACCTTTTACTTTTAGCACATTCAACTATCAATCATCATGACTTTCCAGAGGAAAAACTCAAGGAAGAGACTTTTTTTGCAGATTAGGCGTGAATAGCATAAGTCCTTTGGAATAAAATTTCAAGAACAGTTGGTGAAACAGTTTCTAATTCAAGTGTTGGCAAATTTGTACTTTCTGTCTTTTATTTGAGGCTGAAAAATGGTTTCCTTGGTTTGAGAATCTTTTTCTTGAACGTTCGTGGATCACTGAACTAACTAAACTAAACTTTGCCCTGAAGCTTTCAGGATGTGTTCAAAAACTCTCAAGAATAAACAAATTGTTACGCTTGAATTTCTTTCCAGGCTGTTCTGTCAGTGTTGAGTCAGCAAAAATTAAGGCTTCTGAGCTAAAGTCTGGCAGAAAGCTTTTGTGGTTCTGGGGCTGATTCAACATTGCTTTAAAGATCATTCGAGAGTATTCTGTTGCCCTCCTGGTGGCTTGTGCTACTATGTGCGGCAGCAAAAAAAAATGCTGGTGCGGGAATGGGTTAAATAGTGTTTTCAGGAACTGTTGAAAGTCTGTTTTGAACTTTGTCAGGTGCTCTTTTCAATTTCCTTTGAGTTAATTCTTTATTAAAAATTTGCTAGATTTGGAACAGGTGAGCACCAGTGCTCATTGATTGACTGCAGCAACATTGGCCTTAGTTTTGGGGGACATTATGAGTGAACCTAAATAATGAGGCTCAAACATATATTTTTTCTCTTCAATATGGGCATGCACTGCATCATGTTCTAGCAATGAACTTTCCGTTTTGAATTTTGCTGGACACTTGGGGCACTGCATCAATTTCTCTTCAGCATGAGCAGTCACGTGCCTGGCTATGTTGCTTTTAGTTTTGAACTTCATTGAGCACTGTGAACAAGCGTACGGAGTTTCATCGGAGTGCTTTGTTGCTACATGATTCCTCAGTAGGTGTGGAGTTCTGAACCTGTCTCCACATTGCTCACACTGATGCGGCCTGCCCCCAAAATGGGCATAGACATGGCTATTCAATTTTATTTTTGATGAGAATCTCATCGGGCAGTGAGTGCATTCGTATCGTTCCTGTTGGTGTGATCTGCGATGGAGTGCTAGCTCTTTTTTATTGCTAAATGCTGCTGAGCAGTCACTGCATGGATAAGTCTTTTTTCTGGAGTGAACAGCAAGGTGTTTCTCTAACCGCTCTTGCAATTTAAATTTAGCAGGGCATTCTGGGCAGGATAAAAATCTATTGCAAGAGTGAATTCGATGATTGAGCATGTTGATTTCACGACTGAATACTTTCCCACAGCCAAGGCATTGGTAACTCTCTCCAGAATGCGACTCTTTCAGATGCTTTTTTAAGTTTGGATAAGTTTTAAAGGTAACTTGACACTGGGGACAAACAAATCGTCTATCCATATTGTGAACTCGCAAGTGTTTGATTAGAAGATGAGTACTTTCGAATTTTGCACTACATTGGGGGCAAATATGCTCTTTTTCATCTTCTTCAATGGGAGATCTTTCTGTGCTATGGTGATTTGGAAAACCAGATGAATTAGGTGACATGAATGGATCACATTCTACCATTAAATTTTCTTCTGAGGGTTCTTGTTTCACCCAGACTTGCTCAACATGAGGATCTTCTCTAGAACAGTTTGATGTTTCTTTTCTAACTCCTTCAATGCCTGATTGGATAGAATCATTGTATTCTGCGCATCCATTTTGCCCTGAAAATGAGCATAAGATCAGGTATTTTATTTTCATGATTACTTACTACAAAAACAATGGTGATGAGATGGTTGATTCTTTTGAAATTTTTAGTGCAGAGTCAAAAGATGGCAATAGTTTCATTTCCCATTCCACCAATTTCTTGGAGAATGAGATTTCCTTAACTAATGGGCTTTACTGAGGAAAATTCAATTATCCAGGAAATTGATTTGCCAGGGTCTTTTTTGGATTTAGCAACCATTGGTACTGAAGTGTACTGAGTAGGCCCATTAAACACCTGAACTAGATAATTTTCCTGTCCTTTCAGATGCAAGACAATTGGACCGATTTTACATGAGGTATATGAGCAGATTATGCAGCAAAAAATTAATCGTACACTCAAGAAGGGGCACAATAGGTTCTTGGCTCTCCTATTTTTAAACTGTTTTTTCCCCATGATTTCTTAGCATGAGGGCTTAACTCTGCCCTTTACTTCCACATTCCCTTACTTTATATACTAATGCTGGAAGAGTCATATTTTGTTCAGAGGCAACACTCGCAACAAGTTGGGAAAACAAGCAACAATCGCATTTCAAGTTTGAAGTTGGTTTGTGTTGTGGGGGCAGGGTTTATTTTCGCGTGCAAAATTTGGGAGCCCCTACAGCAAAATTTTTTTAAAACAACTGCAACGTGCTCAGAGGCAAGTTGTTTTCATGTTGTTGCCCAAGACAACGCTGTTTTCAAACCTACAATTGTAATTCGCTTTCTCATTGGTTGTTCAGATTCATGCAAAAGAAACAAGAAAAAAAAACAGAAAAAATTTGTTGTTTCGAACAAAATACGACTAAGGCCTTCCCATATTTCAGACACCTTTTTGCAGCATTCTCTTTGTAGCATGCAGCAAATTGCGATGCAACAGTTGCAAGGTCAAGAAGTTTCTGCAACCCTGCGCTCGAAATAAATGACGTTGCTATTTTGTTCATCATGAGTCTCTCAAGTTAACAGTGGTGACTCGTTTCACTAGTTTGATTCCTTTATAGAACGTATTCGATAGGGGTTCGATGTATCGTTTGGTTTAAAACAATAGGACATGACCTCAAACAAAAATTTTATGATTTAAATTGGAAATCCTAAGAATGAGAGAATTCCTGACAATTATACAGAAACTATCTCTAGAAACACATTCTCTCAGATCTCTCAATTGACTTTATAGGTTATGCTTACATGTTGAACCAATTGATATCAATACAATCTCACCTGTTTCATGTATGGAATTCGATCCATATTTGTTCCATTCAGTTATAAGAGGGAGGGTACTTAATTCTTTGAAAACATTTCTATTTGATAAGGCCCTCTCAAACTTAAATCTTAATAGTTTGCTCCTTAAGTTGTCCATTTTGAGGCTGCTTATGCCCTTCTAATTTTCAGTAACAGAAAAGGATACAAGCAATAATGGGATCTCTTATCATGGATTGATACATTTATGCTAGAGGATGATGCTAGAGAGTGCAAAAAATGTTCTCACCACTTTCAGACAGGGCACTGACTTCCTCATCTACAAGGCAGTCCTCTTCTGCGTCAGAATTTGGCTCTTCTTTGATTTCAACTTTGACAGTCGATTCTGGAATAATACACTCCATTGTGCTAAGAACTTGAAATTTGAAGGTTGATCCCTTGGAACCAGATAGTTATCAGCAAGCTTACAACCTATAACATCCAAGAGGCGAGGTCAGTGATGATCATCAACTACATGACTCGGAGACACAGAACCTAATTGAAACAACACTGTACCTAGTTGTTTTAAGTGGGGTGTAAATGCTGAATAAACCATCTAATTAATGTAGCCTGTTGAAAATAGGCTCTAGAATATATATATTAGCTTCTTACAATTTGGCTTGCAGATCAAATAGGTAGAAGAAACTCGAGGTATGTTGGACTCAACCTTACAGCTGAATATCATCGAGGTTAGGTAAGATCAGACACAAAATTACGGGTAAGTAATTCTGGACGAGCCCATCCTGAAAAGATAGATATTCAAATTTATCATGCACTGTTCTCCTAGATATATGATAGAGGTGAGGTACAATACAGAAGTTTGTGAAAATAACTCAGTAGAAAAGCAGATTATAAGCAAGAGGACCTGCGTTACGAAATGGAAACAATGTTGCTGTAGCCATTAGGCCGAAGGACATCCAATTGAAAAGGCAAAGATAAGAAGAAAATGAAACACCAAAAGAATACTAACATGTTATTTGTGGCCTTGATGACTCATATACTTGAAAGAAATCTTATCACACCAAGGTTCACCTCCATTGCTCGACACTAAGGCAGACTGTTACGAATCAGAGCAGTTACAGGAGCGACTTCTACAAGTTGAGCAAAGACATAATGTCACATGGGATTGCGATTGTATGAAATGTAGATAAATGAAACTAATGAGAAGATCTTGCGGGTTATAAAATGACCATTCCGTAATCACTTTCACCCCTCGAACGTGTTACGAAAAGCGATGATAACGATAACAACAATAACAACCTCGGAATTTTGCAATAGCAGAGGGAACACTCATGAAATGGAACCAGCTATGTTCATTGGCGTTCAATCAGTCCACTCTCCGTTCCAGTTGAGAGGAATTCAACGGCAAAAGGCAGACCGGAAATACCAGGGAAATACATTTTCAGCCGGACCCGGAAACACCCTCTTACAAAAGTTCAGCACAAGCAGGATTTTTTTTGAAATTTGAAAACGCGCCTGTTATGTTGAAGAACTGACATTTCGTAAAAATCATTCCGTTCAGTACTGTACTATTTCATTCGGAGGGTTTGAGCTTGAGTGCATTGAAATTTTGAAATTTACGATTTTTTTTTTTTATTTTCTATCTTTTATTAGTGGAGTAAATAAGGATATAGATAATTAGCGCTATCTACCCCCATCAACAGGGCCGGATTTAAGGGGGTGGCCACATGGGCCGCGGCTCATGGCGGCAAATTTTGACTTTTTTTTTAAACGTAGGTATAAAAAATCGGATTCAGAAAAAAATTAAAGGCGACAAAATCTCTCATTTCCTGAGAGTATAATAATTTCTAATTTTGTCGTCTTTCGACGATACAAGAGGCAGCACCTTTAATTAGTCGAGTTAAGAGAGAAACCAAGCACCCAATTTGGCCTGGAACGGCACGGCACAGAGTGAAATGATGTCGAGGACTTGAGATTGAAAGGAAAAGCCCTCGGCGCGGCGCGGCGGTCGGCGCGTTACACATGTTAGCGCCTACAAAACTGCATGAATACTTCACGCATTGCGTCAAATACAGTGCGGCCAGCAGTGGTCGGCAAGAAACGCATGGCGCCTACAAGAGTGCATGAATACTTCACGCATTGCGCCAAATACAGTGCGGTCAGCGCGGTGCGGCAGCGGAAGTTAAAAATATTAAACCGCATTTATGTTTTGCAAATTTTTTTGCAAAAAAATGTGTCCAACACGAGTAAACGTGTCTCATGCAACCCGCCCCCACCGGCACGTTCACTTGATGGTTTATATTAAAAGTTTCAGAACGGATGAGAAGGGGGCGGCAAAATACAGGCGGCCCATGGGCGGCAAGTAGGTAAATCCGGCCCTGCCCATCAATAAATTTTTACCACATGATGCGAGTAAGTACAGCAGACTTCCGAGAATTTTCTGGGAGAGATGAGACTCACATGTCTTAAATTGAGGGCCTGAAAGTTGCTATCCTCCTTGATTCCAGTCCATGAGATCTTCTCCATATAGTGGCCTTTTTGCTGTGGACACAAGAAATACAATGGACGAAATTAATTATTTAAGATAACGCAAGGTCAGATGCACCACCCCTAGTGCATGAGGAACGCAACAGCTGCACCAGGTTGACCAAGTAACATCGTCCATCACCGAAAGTAGCACGGTGAAAAGAGAACATTGAAATAATTTTGCAATTTAATGTACCTCATAAAAGTTCAATCCACCCCAATGAAATTGCAATAATGATACATCACTAGATGGCTGCGCCCCCTGATCGCTTCGCGGTTAAACCCCCCGAAGCGCTCCGCTGTTCGGCGGTCATTAACGCTCCAGCAGGCGTTATGCGTTATAAGATTCTTCCTCGAAATTTATAATATACCTTTAGAGTAAGACTTGACTTGCTCGATAAACAGGGGCGGATTAAGGGGGTGGCCGCATGGGTCGCGGCCCAAGGCGGCAGATTTTGCAATTTTTTTAAATGTAGGTATTAAAAATCGAATTCAGGAAAAAAAATATCAATAAGAAAAGGAAACAAAATCTCTTTTTCCTGAGAGTACAGTAATTTCTAATTTTGTCGTTTTTCGGTGATACAAGAGACAGCATCTTTAATTAGTCGAGTTAAGAGAGGATGAACTAAACACGCAATTTTGCCTGGAGCTCAGCGCAGAGAGGAACGATGACGAGGACTTGAGATGAAAAGGACACGCCCTCGGCGCGGCGGTCAGCATGTGACACATAAGCGCCTACAAGACTGCATGAATACTTCACTCATTGCGCAAAACACAGTGCGCGTGCGGTCACGCGGTCAGGAGCGGTTGGCGTGAAACGCATAGCGCCTACAAGACTGCAGGAATACTTCACGCATTGCACCAAACACAGTGCGATCAGCGCGGCGCAGCGGCGGAAGTTCAAATTATTAAACCGCATTTATATTTGTTCTTTCATAATGTTTGGTTCATTTCTTATAAATGGAGGATCTTGCCCACACAGAGATAGGTTTACGGAACTTAACTTTTGCGTCAAGCTCCGTGAAATTTTGTTAGTAGAGTTGCCAGGGCTTTTGCAAAAAAAATGTATCCAACACGAGTAGGTAAACGCGTCTTATGCACCCCTCCCCCTCCGGCACGTTCACTTGATGGTTTTTATTGATGTTTCAAAACGAATGAGAAGGGGGCGGCAAGTAGGTAAATCCGGTCCTGTCGATAAATGCAAATTTCAAACGACCGATGAAATGAGTACCGTGTGTGGGAAAGGTAGGCAATTTACAATGCAATGCAAATTTCAAAAAGAGGAGCCACTTCAATGGAGTTCTCTCATGTGATAAAGATTAAGAACTCTCTCTGTAAAGGGACTCTACTCCCCTACTGCCGTGCTAGGGAAGGACGCCATATGAGCCTTCATACGTTGCCAAATTTCCTTTGATGAACTACGAATTTACTGAGAAAGTTGTGAATATTTTTCCTCCGATTTTTCGGATGATTTTATCCGCAATTTAATTTAAATTATATGAAAATTTCAAGGAAAAATATGCATAACTTTCCTCAAAAATACATGTTTTAACCGGGAAAATTTGGCAACTCTCGAATGTTCATTCAGCACTTTTCCTAAGCGCGGCAGCATTAATGAATAGACAACATACCTACACAACTTCTTTTCGATAGATCGACGTCAATGGATCGAAATCAAGGCTCTCCATTGGCTTCCGTCTTTCACTTCGCAGTGTGTATCTAGGCCTTATGGTTTACATACTTTCGGATCCTTTCCTGTACGTTTGAAGGTTCCTGCGCATAATTTTTCTCTTTTTACGGCAAGCATAGAAATAGACTTGAATGAAACATTTAAACTAATATTTTCGTCATATCTCGGATAATCACGGCAGATTTTTCTTCGATTGCTCTTATCAATTTACCTGTTCAATTTAGGCAGTAAAAAACCTGCAACGTCGCAAATTGAGGTGTACATATTTTTTGCTTCGCCGTCGTCGAGGAGAATATGTGTTCTAGAGTCTAGTATCAACGGCAATCGCGATCCTTTGCCACTAATTGTAAGTCGAAGCTATACTTGTGAAGGCGCTCTGAGCAACTATTCCACCACAGAGGTAGGGCAAAGTATCAGACGAAAATGAAGGCGCATTAGGTCATGTAAACTTACTAGTATCGTTTCCCACGGTGTGAAGTCCTCCTGGTCCCTGACCGTGCGATTTGCGGCATCTGGTCGATCAATTTTTGTGAGACTTGGTGCCACGGGACATTTTTTGAAGTAAAAAATGAATTTTCAGTCAAATTTTCATAATTCAGAAATCAAATATTCAACAAATGGCCTGCAACGCTACCTCGGCGCCTTCGAAATTATCCAACTTAGCTATTGAGGTATCAATTGCAACAGTGGCGGCGCATGAATAATCGATTGTCGATTTTTTTCCCTATTTGAAGATACGGTGAAGGATCGATTATTTATGTGTGCGTTGCGAATACCCTGTACATCGATCCTTTTTCATAGGTATAAAGTGCAGATCAATCTATACATCGCAAAGCACGCCCTGCCACTGAATCGCAATTTATTGCAGTCGACAATGGCGTTAAAAGTAAAAGGAAGAACAAAACAAAGGACAAGTAGGTGAAAACAAAAATAAAAAGTAAAAAGAAGAAAATGAGAAAGACAAGGAGAAAAGACAAAATAAAGTTTGAAGTTTTGAATAAACGGTGCGGAAGCTACACCTAACTTCCCGTGTTTTTGAGTTTACCACTTGTCTCTAGAAAAAATTTAAGTGCGTAAAAAATTGATAAAACGTACATAAATCTGAAGTATTTTTATATTTTTCATGGAAAAATTTACTTTTTCCCCCTGATGTTCTAGCTGTAATGTTTTGCTTTTGTTCGACTATCTATGGCCATTTCGGAAGATTCACTCTCATCTTCAGGTCTTCTTCTCCGATTGCTTCTTTTAAGTTCCTGTGAACTTTAGCTTTACACTGAAAAAAACATCTCGGTGTATTTACTAAGAAAAGGGTGAAATTACCAAGAATTCAGGGTTCTATTTGATCCCAGTTTTTTCTTGGTAAAATTAACATTTATGGAATTGGTAATTTTACCGAGAAACCTCGGTAAAATTATTGGACTTTCTCGGCAATTTTACTGTACCTTGGTAAAAACGCCGATATTTTTTATCGACCGTGGTAGAATTACCGAGATAAAATGGCAAAGTTACCGGGAATTGATTACCAATAAAAGTGGTATTCTTACCTGAAAAAAAACAGGAAAAATACCGGTTTTTAGGTAAGCTTACTAGCCTGTCTTGGTAAAATTACCAATAATTGGTAAAAAAAAAAGTGAGATGGTAAAGGTACCAACGGACCTTGGTAAAAACGCCGAGAATTTTTTTTCAGTGTGGTGTGTTTTCGAACTCACTGATTCATTTCTCATTGAGGCGAACAATAAAATAAACAAAAGCACAAGATTCGGCAATCGCGAGGAGCGTGAATGAACTTGACTCTGGAGCGCATTCGTCTTCGAGGGGCGACGCGACGACGCGACAGCGGCGGCGGCGCTATTTTTACGGGCCCGCAACCCCCCGCGTCGCAATCGCGCCGTCCGCGCACCTATCTCACTCTTGTAAAATATCGAAAAACATCGAACCGAGCAGCGATCGCGCCGTCCTAACCCCTATCTCCTCGATGTAAACTATCGAAATACATCGAATCGAATCGAACGGGCTCCGACGCCGGAAGAGGGAGGCCGCAGGACCGTCCCGTCAGTGACGGTTCACCCCCGGGCACATTCACCCGCGCTCTTTCATCTCGTGAAGGTAAGCTCCGTTTTACTATTGTTTCTGGTTGATTTTAATTGTTTTTCTATTGGTCGAGACATCGAGTGAAAGTATTGTGAGATACCTGGCATTTTTCTCTTTCGTGCCCGATCAAATGTCTAGAGGAAAAATTCCTGGCGTGCTTAATACAGGTCGACACGTGGTGATTTTGTCGCTTCCCAGACTAAAGAATGTTGCTACATTTGAGTGGCTTCGCTGGAAAAAATAACCACATTGGATCTAGAGTCCAGACTTTTAAAAACATCGACAAGAAAAAATACTCTTGATTCAATCAGATTTAAGCTTAAATCAAGAACCAAGCCTCTTAATTTGAGCTGATTTCCTTTTGATTTAAGTTTAAATCTGATTGAATCAAGAGTATTTTTTCTTGTCGATGTTTTCAAGAGTCTGGACTCTCGATCCAATGTATTTTTTTTTTAGTATTTGAAGGACAAAGCGCAAAAGTGCAGTTTTTGAAAAAATCGAGATGATAATGATTTCAAGTAAAACTAGTCTTGATGCAAATTCTATGCGAATAATTTCCAAAAATTACGGCTCTCTAGCACAATTGCAATCAGCTAGAGCGCAGTTAGATCCGATATACTACTGCCGTGCTGAGCAAGATCGCCGTAAATCCATCAAGATTTTCCCTCGTTTTTTGGAACTTAACACTTTATAACATAGAAACTGTTTTACCCATGCACTTCAAATTTACAAGTTAAGTTCTTGATAGTATTTGCGAAAGAAATCTGTAAAAATATTGTCCCAAGGTACACAAGTTTTTCTGCTATGATACGTAGTTTCCAAAAAATGTAAAATGACGTTTTTGCGTTGCACGGCAGTATAGCATACTGATAGTTTGCGGAAGCAAATATCGTAGGATTGAAAAGAAAAGGTTGGACCAAAGCCACTATTGAGGGGCTTGGAGGACAAGGCGAATAAGTGCAGTTTTTGAAAAAGTTGAGATATTAATGATTTCAAGTAAAACTAGTCTTAATGCAAATTCTGTGAAAAAATCGCTTCCAAATTCTAGGTTTTAAGCATCAAAAAATAGGTTTGAACTTTCTTTCCGCCATAAGGATCCATGTAGTTTCGAAACTTCAAACGTGTATTTATGTACAAGCCTCGCGCCATCGCGCCTTCAATTTTGCAGATGCAGCATGGACGTCCATCAAGCTCGAATAGTTGTATCTCTGCGCCGTCGTCGACGCGCATCTTCTCCTTTGTTATACTTCCATATCGTGTTGGTTTCGTTTCGTCTCATTTGTAGTGGTGCTTCAAGAGCTACGTGAGTAACACAGCCGAGGAAAGGAAAGATGTAACTGTTCTAGTTTTTAAGCATCAAAAAGTAGGTTTGAACTTTCTTTCCGCCATAAGGATCCATGTAGTTTCGAAACTTCAAACGTGTATTTATGTACAAGCCTCGCGCCATCGCGCCTTCAATTTTGCAGATGCAGCATGGACGTCCATCAAGCTCGAATAGTTGTATCTCTGCGCCGTCGTCGACGCGCATCTTCTCCTTTGTTATACTTCCATATCGTGTTGGTTTCGTTTCGTCTCATTTGTAGTGGTGCTTCAAGAGCTACGTGAGTAACACATCCGAGGATAGGAAAGATGTAATTGGGCCTCATTCTTTAATTACCTTCCTCCCGAATCAATCGAATTAATCCCAAATAACTCGAGGTGCTGCGGAGCATGTACATTTCTCGAAATAGCAAAAACTGCACTTATGCGCCTTGTCCTCCGAGCCCCACATTTGGACCACGTTTAGCAGAAAGAGCCACATCAGATATTCCCAAATTCAACTGAGCAATATAATTTTTTGCAAGAGAACGTCTGTGCAGATTCCTTGGAAATGTTTACGGGATTTGGCTTCGTACTAAGCAGAAAATCACGGAAATTCGCACTAAAATCCGCCCGACCATTTTCGTGTAAAAAATTAAATTGCCCAATTTTCGACGATAGCTCATGTGACTTGGTTCTTTTCTGCTTAAGGGGATTTGATTGTCGCCAGCATATTTTATGTCAAAACAGACACGCTATATGAATCACTAAATACAAAAAGGGCACATGTCCAGAAAACCAAATTGTTCAGGAAACACAAAAAAGTGTTCATTTCGTGGTAGATATTTTCTGGAAAGTCTTGATGTTTAAAAAAATATATACCACGAAATAAACAGTTTTTTGTGTCTCCTGAACAATTTGGTTTCCTGGAAATGTGCCCTTTTTGTATTTAGTGATTCATATATAACAACGATTGGTTCCATTTTTCAGCTACTCGTAATTTTTCTCGAATTTTGAGATCGCAATTCTATTGTCAGGAGACTAAAGCACTCACTTACCAATTGTAACAAAGAAATTCAACGTAATAAAGGCGTTGTTTTTTTAGGGATAAAATATCGCATTCGAGTGCATTTTCGATATCAGTATCGAATGCTATATTTTTCCTCTAAAAAAACCACGCATTTATTACGTTGAATTTGTTTGTCAAAATTGGTACCTAAGTGGATTCTTTACTCTCTTGACAACAGAATACACCTTAGCGCGGCCCATTTGGACGGTGAAACTCCCAGAGCACGTACCTCAGTTTGTGACGTTGCACACTTCCTGTCATACTTCATTTTTCACGGGGAAAAAGGTGTTGTAGTAACACCACAGATGTTAAAAATACGTGCGACAACACTTGGATGTTGTCATTAACACTCTGGTGTTGTATCTAAGATTATCCACTGCGGTGGTATGCATACCGTGGTCTCTTCCACTTTGGTCCCATCCGTGTCTTGGGTCGAGCAACCAGGGCAAATGTGTGTATCTGTCGCAGGCAAATAGTTAAATCAGGTATTTTGTCAAATGTCTGGGCAAATAGTCAAATATTCTTACTTAGGTGATAGGTCAAAATGTCCAAAAAAAAATGTCCAACAAGCAAGAATGTCCAGAGTTGAGAATGTCCATATTGTAAAAATGTCCAAGTATCTTAAATGTCCAATACTGGTTTTTTGGCCAAAGACAAAAATGCCCAAAAGTCCATTCTCTTTGCAAAAAAATTAGAAGGTGGCGACATTGTCGGCTTGAATACTAAATAAATTCGAATCCATGGAGACGACGGGGAAGATTTGAGAATCTTTTTTTCTTGAACTAACCTCAGTTGTGAAACTTTTTGGCTTTTGTAAAATTTTTGTAAAATTTGTCTCAACTAAGATCAGAGTCATCTGAGTCATGAGACTCATCTAAGTCAGAAAATGGTGAAATCCCATCATCTTAATATTTGGAAATTTATAGAATATATGCAGAAAGATCAAAGGGATACAGAACAGCTCTGCCAACAGCTCGACTTGGGTCATACGCGGATCTAACAACAAATTTCAAAGAAGTCGAAAAGAAATCAGGAGAGAATCCTACAGCGCATCCAACGCTATCAAGAATTCAAAGATGAAGATGACATTCCACGGTACCTAAGGGGCATTGCCTGTTACATTCGAGTTTCCAACGAGCCCGAAGACGAGAATAATGAGGAAAGTGATCAAGAATGAAGAATATCTAGAAACAAAAATAAATGGACTTTTGGGCATTTTTGTGTTTGGCCAAAGAACCAGTATTGGACATTTCAGATACTTGGACATTTGTAAAATAGGGGCATTCTCAACTCTGGACATTTTTGCTTGTTGGACATTTTTTTTGGACATTTTGACCTATCACCTATCTATTTTCTTACTTAGATTAAACTCTGATTCTTTTGCTAATTTTAGACAAAATAATTCATTGCTCCCGTAAGAAAGAATCCTCTGTAAAAATTTGCATCATATAATAGTATTTTAAACGATTTTCAGCTCCTGAACGAAAATTCATCTTGAAATTTTCAGTGTGTCATAAAATATACATTTTTTTAAAATTTCAAAATTCAAATATATGAGAGGCATTTGAAAAGGAAGGAAGAAGGAGAGTTTGTAGTTTTGATGTGGTGTTTTCCCCCAAAATATTCAAAAATTGTGAGCTTATCACCATAACCTTACAAAATTCCATAAAATGTCAAAATTTGACTTTCTGCCTAGGCATTTGATGAAATGCCTGATTTGACTGATTGCATGCGAATATCATTAATTGACGGACCCAGAGTGAACTACCATTGCGTCTACTAAAATTTAATTTTGGATTTTCCTGATTTTCTCTGCGAAGAAATTAGCACTCGTTTGATGTATCAGACTTTGGCCGGTAGCAGCTACCGCCACCCATGATTCCCACTTATGTGATGAGATTAATCTAATTTTTTAAAATTACTTCAGCACTCTTGTTGCCTCGGATGGTCTATGACCGATTTTCCTGATATAATCGCAATCAAATTTCCTGATATTTTCCGATTCCTACTGACACCCTGGTGCAGTATGGCATGAAACGTAAGAAAGAAATGAAAGATTGGAAATTTCAGGGAAATATTTCACGAAATTTCTCGAGGCTGTGAAATATTTCATATTATTCAGGAGCTACAGTATGCAACCCGCACTCAAACAAACAAAATAGAAGGAAATCGCAATTTTTACATTTCTCGAAACATTGAGAGGAATCGGTATTTTTCAACATCTTTCATAAATTTCTGAAATTTCATGAAATATTTCACGTAAAACTTCAAGACTTTACTTTTCATGAAATTTAGCCACTCTGCTCTGATGGAGGAAACTATGGTATACTAGCCGCTCTGGACGCGCTTTGCGCGTCCGTCACGGCCAGCCAAGGGGCTGCGCCCCCTGGACCCCCGANTTCGGCAGTCGGCTCGCTCCGCGAGCCATGTTTCTCAGTGATTGTACATTTAATCACTAAGATGTATACATTTTGCAGATTCTGGAGACAAAAATGATTTCGTCACAGAACCTTGTTGCCGGTGCATGCCATCATTTGCACATGAATTGATGTGTGGAGATGAAGCGATGATGGGGATTGATCATTTCTTCAAAAACGCATTTGACTGGGACGTAATCCCATCGGGTGGCGGAAAAAGACAATCCATGGATCTCCTTCCGCGATTTGACTTGCTAAAGTAGCAAAAGTTCATCTTTACCGCTTAAGAGGATTATCGGTGGCGTAAGGGTCTAAAAACTGCTCAACGATAGTAAAGTTCAAGTTCCGAATCGCAATTAGCCCACTCGTGTTTTTTTATACTTTCATCGCATATAAATTTCTCAGATGTTTTTGTTTTATTCTCTCTGATTACATATTAGTATAATCATATACTCATTTCATTTCCTTTCCCTTTCCTTTTTCCCTTTCTGTAGCACCTGTATCCATTTACAATTATTATTTTACAATAGTTTTCCCCTAGTATACAATTGATGCTTCAAACGGAATCAGTTGTTTTAATGACATTTCCGGCTAAATCATGGGTTTTCCCAGGAGGGCAGTCTCTCGTCCCTCCCGGACTCTATTGTTGCCAGATGAGTTGCTTCTTTAGCACTTTTCTCAATTCAAATCCATGTAAAATATTCACATTTATCGCACAATCTGGCAACCTCTCGAGTGAAATAGAAAAAGGTAGAATCGCTGAAAGTCTGAATCCTTCGAAGTTTATATTAATGATACTACTACGGTGAATGCCGTCAGTGCGTGCGTCCAGTGAGCTATATATTTCAGTTAGTATTGGCCGCAGAAACTAGGCGTGTGAACATTACTCGCTGATATGTTGACTAAAACCATCAAAATACACTTTCGTGACCAGCGCAACTGGCCCATTCGCTCTATTGCTCGGTAAAGGACGATTTGTGCGACAAAATTGAAAAGGTTGAAAATGAATAAACTTGTTAAAGTGTCTTTGAATATCTGTTTAGGATTCTAGGGATGGTCGCAAGCGTTTTGCCGACACACTTGAGAATGAACCCAATGCAGCCGATGATGAGTTCCTACGGTGGCGCCGCCGCAAATAGTTTATGCTGCTGTTTGTCTTGCTTCAATTTGAAAATCTTACAGACGCCTGTAGGAATCTTGAAAATCTCACAAGTTGTAAGTACATACTGCCGTGCTAAGGAAAAACGCCGTATGAACCTTCAGGGGTTGCCAAATCTCCTTTGATAAAGTATAAATTCACTGGGAAAGTTGTGAATGTTTATCTTACAATTTTTGAGACAATATTGCACGCTTTTTAACCTAAAATATCTGGAAATTTCGAAGAAAAATATGCTTAACTTTCTTTCGGAGAAAACATATTATCGGAGAAAATTTGGCAACTCTCGAATGTTCATACGGCGTTGTTCCTTAGCACGGCAGTAGACTTATCTCTTCTCCCTAGATAGCTGTACTACACCGCCCTGAGAAAAATGACGCATGCAAATTCTTAAGGTGGTATCGTAATGTTGTCTGTCATTTACATCATCTTACTATAGTAAAAAAAAATAAGGCCTTTTTTGTGTGTACGTCCGTGTCATTTCGCATTCTCATTGGTCTTTCATTAACCAATCAGAAAACGTCATTGAAAATCCCCGGGAAATATAAATGTATTCTTCCGTAAAGGAATTATTGATAGGTAGACAGGTATAAAAATGGGATGTATTTCTTCTAATAACCAGGATAAAAGGGAGGATTATTACCTATACAGGATAGTCCTAGAAAAACGGGATGTACCTATATTAATAAACCGGGATAACAGGAAG